AGTTATCTGACAGTTTTACTGTTAATACACCTGGTGTGTTTAAATTCTACCCCCAAGTTATTTCACAGTATTACCTTTACTACACCAAGTGCATTTAAGTTCTGACCTCGAGTTATCTGACAGTTTTACTGTTAATACACCTGGTGTGTTTAAATTCTACCCCCAAGTTATTTCACAGTATCTTTTTTAGTGCATTTAAGTTCAAAGGTATTTGTCAGTATTACTCCAAATACACCTAGAGCATTTGAGTTATGTGAGACTTGTGCTCTATACATTGGGGCCTTGGCATTCTTACACCTAATTCCATTATTAACAATGTTCATGAACAAAAGAACAGCATAGCCCAATAAAGGTATGAAATATTTAATAGTATATGTGCATAGTAAAATATAGTAACTGCATAAAGACACGTAAAATGCTAAAACAATACATGTGATGAAACAGGATAAAACACAAAATAACGCTGAATAACTTCAGCAACATAAGAGCAACAACTAAGGTTACCATGGTTACTGGTTACTAATGGTGAAATTAAACTTGAAGCAAATAATGATAGAAAGGAAATCATAAACAAGAATTTACAGAAACGTCATGGCTTCACCAATCAGAGTTAAAACAGACTTTTCTGATGAATACTCTCCATAAGATTCCCTGCAAGCACTGAAATTGTGGTTAAACAAATCACACTGTCATTAGTTGTGACAACACAAATCTCAAGATATCAGGGTAGCACATGTCAAACATGAAAATATAGATGACTTTCCAGGAGAAAGCATGCAAGCAAAGTTGACTAGAAAACAAAAACAATAACCAGTTTCATATACATGTACTTAACAAGATAAATAGTTGTCCTGAAGTAATACATCCAGCAAACAAAGAACATGTTCAGCCAAAACAACAAACTCTGAAACAACATTTTCCAAACAGTGCAATCTTAACAGCATCACCTGGGCCTAGATTTTCGAAGCTCTCTTAGCGCTAGGATAGTCGTAAGTTAATGTTAATGTATGGCACTTACGACTATCTTAGTCCTAAGAGAGCTTCGAAAATCTAGGCCCTGGATAGCATTATCAGAACAACATAATCTCGCTGGCAATTTCTGGACAGCACTATTTGAACGCCATATATATGCATAATGTTTTCTCAATAACATTATCTGAACAAAATTAACTGGATAGAAATACCTGACAAGTTTGGGGGGTGATGGAGATTTCTGAAAAGCACTGTCTGAACAAAAATAGCTAGACTATCTGTAGAGTGTAATCTAGATAGCACTAGCTCACAGATCAATACTACTTCACCAGTATCATCTAAACAGACAGTTCAGACCAACACACCACTATCTCACCAACACCATCTGAACAGACAGTTCAGACCAACACACCACTATCTCACCAACACCATCTGAACAGACAGTTCAGACCAACACACCACTATCTCACCATCACCATCTGAACAGACAGTTCAGACCAACACACCACTATCTCACCAACACCATCTAAACAGACAGTTCAGACTAACACACCACTATCTCACCAACACCATCTGAACAGACAGTTCAGACAAACACTATTTCATCATCACCATCTGAACAGACAGTTCAGACTAACACACCACTATCTCACCAACACCATCTGAACAGTCAGTTCAGACGAACACTATTTCATCATCACCATCTGAACAGACAGTTCAGACCAACACACCACTATCTCACCAACACCATCTCAACAGACAGTTCAGACCAACACACCACTATCTCACCAACACCATCTGAACAGTCAGTTCAGACCAACACACCACTATCTCACCAACGCCATCTAAACAGTCAGTTCAGGCTAACACACCACTATCTAACAACACCATCTAAACAGTCAGTTCAGACTAACACACCACTATCTCACCAACACCATCTCAACAGACAGTTCAGACCAACACACCACTATCTCACCAACACCATCTAAACAGACAGTTCAGACTAACACACCACTATCTCACAACACCATCTCAACAGACAGTTCAGACGAACACTATTTCATCATCACCATCTGAACAGACAGTTCAGACCAACACACCACTATCTCACCAACACCATCTAAACAGTCAGTTCAGACCAACACACCACTATCTCACCAACGCCATCTAAACAGTCAGTTCAGGCTAACACACCACTATCTAACCAACGCCATCTCAACAGACAGTTCAGACCAACACTATCTCATCAACACCATCTCAACAGACCGTTCAGACTAACACACCACTATCTCACCAACACCATCTCAACAGATAGTTCAGACTAACACTATCTCACCACCATCTGAACAGACAGTTCAGACTAACACTATTTCACCAACACCATCTGAACAGTCAGTTCAGGCCAAACTGGAAGACATATATATTAATGAACTTTGGTTAATAAAATACTGGAGGTAAATGAACAGGAATGTAATTCAATGTTTGTATTTACAATGTGGGTTATGCATATGGATTTGGGGGCATTTCACCATCATACAGTAACATGAAACCTTCTTAATCTGGACACTGTCATTCAGAGCCCTTCTGTCACTCTCACCCATGATTCAAAGTGAGGAAACAATCTGTTCATTACTGAGAACCTGTGACCTACCTGAGAGTTATAACTACCAAATGGATTAATCCTGAGTGTGCACACCAGTTTTTGCATTTATAACTCCTCATACTTATATATATATATAACAGTGGGCTGATTTAATCATTCACACATAAAATCCCTGAAGACAACAGCACTAAGTCAGGGATATCATTTGGCTCAACTACACAACATCAGCCACGTCTATTGTATCATCAGCCAATCAAGAAACACTACTAATGTCTTTCCCATAAAGACCATCTGTATTTGCTTATGTGTTTCTCATCTCCAACCTCAACCAGAGAACAGGCAGGCTAAAGAAATAAATGAAAATTAAAAAACATAAAATCATACCTTTCATAAACATATTTTATGAATTTAATTTATTTTTATCACATGTAATGTTTTTTAAATAAATTTAAGATTTATATCGAGTCGTTTGCATCAGGACAATTTTTCTGATAAAGGTAGATAAAGAAAGATCAAGCTGGCCTGTTTTTTTAATGAGTGTAAGGGTGAGAGTATTTATCTATTACATTATGGCATAAATTTCCCAACAGAAGAGGGGAACATTGAGATGAGAAAAACATTTATTATTTCATGTCAGACTGAAAATTCCAGGCATGTGGGAGATGAGAAACAGAGATAAAAATACAGACAGCCGAAGAGAAACACAAGCTTTAAATAATTGCTTAGTTGTCCAATCCAATGCCACAGGTTCACATCTGACCTTCTGTCACATACTGGTTTGGTTGTGTGCCCAATGAAAACAGTTCAGCATATATACATAATACTGTAGTTTCGCTCAAGAAGAACACTCTCATATCTGAGCTGTGCATCCTCTGTGGTATGGAACTTCTACTGAGCTTTTGGAAATAGTTTCATATCCAACACCAACACAAAGTCACAAATACCTTTTGATGTTTTTCTTGGGTCATATTTTTCTCATACCAAGAAGCACTTGTTTGAGCCTACATTTGATGTTGATAGTTCCTACTGGGCTATCTCTGGACTCAACTATACTTCACAACTAGCTGTTGTCAACAGTACTGGGCTATCTCAGGACTCAACTATACTTCACAACTAGCTGTTGTCAACGGTACTGGGCTATCTCAGGACTCAACTATACTTCACAACTAGCTGTTGTCAACAGTACTGGGCTATCTCTGGACTCAACTATACTTCACAACTAGCTGTTGTCAACGGTACTGGGCTATCTCTGGACTCAACTATACTTCACAACTAGCTGTTGTCAACAGTACTGGGCTATCTCAGGACTCAACTATACTTCACAACTAGCTGTTGTCAACGGTACTGGGCTATCTCAGGACTCAACTATACTTCACAACTAGCTGTTGTCAACAGTACTGGGGACTCATATACTTCACAACTAGGTTGTCAACAGTACTGGGCTACTCAACTATACTTCACAACTAGCTGTTGTCAGCGGTACTGGGCTATCTCTGGACTACTTCTTCACAACTAGCTGTTGTCAACAGTACTGGGCTATCTCAGGACTCAAGTATACTTCACAACTAGCTGTTGTCAACAGTACTGGGCTATCTCAGGACTCAACTATACTTCACAACTAGCTGTTGTCAACGGTACTGGGCTATCTCTGGACTCAACTATACTTCACAACTAGCTGTTGTCAACAGTACTGGGCTATCTCAGGACTCAACTATACTTCACAACTAGCTGTTGTCAACAGTACTGGGCTATCTCAGGACTCAACTATACTTCACAACTAGCTGTTGTCAACGGTACTGGGCTATCTCAGGACTCAACTATACTTCACAACTAGCTGTTGTCAGCGGTACTGGGCTATCTCAGGACTATTAGATCAACTAGACCTCACAACATGTTGTTATGAACAGTATCTACACAACTACCTCAGAAGTTCTAGATCAAAGATGGTTTACAAATACCACAAAGCTTTAAAATGTATCAAAATTAAAATAATAAAAATCTATGGGGTCATAAATGTTTTGGAACATGCATTTTTGAAAAATATATACTATATATCTGAATATTCGGCAATATATGCAGCATTATTTATTTAACATAAAATGTTAACATTAGGGCTGCGCAATATAACCAGTCTACCGGTATTTACCGGTTCAGACATGAAAAGGATACGTATTGCGATACGCTGATCGAAAACCGGTATATTGACATGCATTCGGAAAACTTCGTAACACTCGGAAATCTTCGGATATTTTCGTTTTTTTAGATTGTTCCTTTCCTTGTTTCATTTGTGCCAAATATTATTTACATTATTATTTTGTCATGATTAAAACTATTTATTAAAGCCTAATCAAGCATTGTGATTTTGTTGTGTTTTTGCTTTATAAATCAAGCATTAACTCGATTATAAGTATTTTTTTGTTTAAAAAACCTTCTTGCAATATATTGCAATACATATCGCAATACATGCTTTCGCATCGCAATATATCGCAATATGAAAATTTCCTGCAATACCCACCCCTAGTTAACATTTAAATGTATATTTAAAGTATTAATTACAAAGAATGTGATTAATACACCAATTTCCATGTTTCTGGGTTGGATACTTGCTTGATTGTAGAGTGAGCTATGACTGATATAGAAGATGATTAGGAATAGGTTGAGTATATTGTAACATCACCATAGACTAGATAGATGATTACAGTATTGAAGAGGACATTACGAGGCATCTGATTGGGATGGAGTTGATAATATGGTACGATCACCATTAGACTCTACCGAATGAAAAAGACCAGAGCATGAAAAAGTAATATTGGAAAAAAATACAAAAATATACCGGAAGTTATATTTCAACTAAAATGTTTGATACAAACAAAATGAAAATTGACACTTTTAACATGCAACACACTGATTCTGAATTTAATATCTTTCTTAATAATTTCACTAATTCCTCATAATTCTTCAATTTTATGGTTTCATAACCTAAACATCCAAACTTGATAAAGTAAAATTAAAACTATCAGAATTGTCAATACCACAAAAACTGTCCTCATATTAAAATGTCGCCCTATATGTGAACAGTACTTAACAGTATAGTGAAATAAGCTGCCAATCATGCCAAGCCCTGCCCTTCCTGAGATAGCCCGACCCCATCACATATGACAATGTTCAGGCTGTACTGGATTGTTGATTGCTGAAAACTCCTCTTCCCGCTCCTGATCTTTCATTGCTGTCAGCTGGAGTTGGTTCAGTTTTTTGTATTTGTCCACCATATGCTGTTGAATATAGCCGAACACCCAGTAGCCCACACCAGATCCTGTGGACAACACAAATATAGTTATCTTTAACATAGCTAAACACCCAGTAGCCCACACCAGATCCTGTGTGTAACACAAATATAGTCATCTTTAACATAGCTAAACACCCAGTAGCCCACACCAGATCCTGTGTGTAACACAAATATAGTTATCTTTAACATAGCTAAACACCCAGTAGCCCACACCAGATCAATAACACAAATATAGATCCTGTGTAGCCCACACCAGATAAACACAAATATAGTCATCTTTAACATAGGTAAACACCCAGTAGCCCACACCAGATCCTGTGTATAACACAAATATAGTCATCTTTAGCATAGCTAAACACCCAGTAGCCCACACCAGATCCTGTGTATAACACAAATATAGTCATCTTTAACATAGCTAAACACCCAGTAGCCCACACCAGATCCTGTGTATAACACAAATATAGTTATCTTTAACATAGCTAAACACCCAGTAGCCCACACCAGATCCTGTGGACAACACAAATATAGTTATCTTTAACATAGCTAAACACCCAGTAGCCCACACCAGATCCTGTGTATAACACAAATATAGTTATCTTTAACATAGCTAAACACCCAGCAGCCCACACCAGATCCTGTGTATAACACAAATATAGTCATCTTTAGCATAGCTAAACACCCAGTAGCCCACACCAGATCCTGTGTATAACACAAATATAGTCATCTTTAACATAGCTAAACACCCAGTAGCCCAAACACCCAGTAGCCCACACCAGATCCTGCGTCCTGTGTATAACACAAATATAGTCATCTTTAACATAGCTAAACACCCAGTAGCCCACACCAGATCCTGTGTATAACACAAATATAGTCATCTTTAGCTTTAATAGCAAACAGTATTCACACCAGATAGCTAAACACCCAGCAGCCCACACACCAGATCCTGTGTATAACACAAATATAGTCATCTTTAGCATAGCTAAACACCCAGTAGCCCACACCAGATTCTGTGTATAACACAAATATAGTCATCTTTAGCATAGCTAAACACCCAGTAGACCACACCAGATTCTGTGTATAACACAAATATAGTCATCTTTAACATAGCTAAACACCCAGTAGACCACACCAGATTCTGTGTATAACACAAATATAGTCATCTTTAACATAGCCAAACACACAAGTAAATGTACACTGTTTTCTAGGGGTCCATTCTAACACCCAGAGGGCTGCTCAGCTGCAGGTAGACTTACCGAGCGTTATGGCGATGCCGACCCACACACTGTACGACATAAAGGCAAGCATGATGAGGTAGGCGATGATCATGTTGAACATGTGGGACATGCAGCCCAGAAAATGGTATTTCATTCTGAAATATAACATCATCATCATCATCATCATCATCATCATCATCAATCATCATAAGCATTGATCATGTTGATATTTAGAATTCCACGGATTTTCCACAAATTCTTAATCTGAGCATCAAAACACAAATAACCAGAATGAATGAGTAATGTCAGTTATAACCCAGCTTGTCATCTTGATGTGGGAGAAAAGCCCACAGTGATACAGGTCTCAAATATTCATTCGATGAAACCATCAGACAAACCTATAAACATATTCAGGGTTTACCATGATTTGAACCCAAATCACAGATTTCTAGAGTTTCAAAGGGACATAACTCTGACAGCACATCACAGCACCTTTGTTGAGTCTGCCACCAATATACCTACACCAATCACTAATAGGTACACATTAAGACGAAGTAACTATGGTAACTGGTAACTACATAGAACTTCACTATATAAAGAGCCGATGTAAGGTGAGTCCCGACTGATCTGCATCACAGACACCCCTGTCACAAGCCTGTATTAATATCTACATCTATCTGTATGTTCATTGAGTGGCATTAGAGTGAGTGAGTGAGTTGAGTTTTACGCCGCACTCAGCAATATTCTAGCTATATGGCGGCAGTCGGTAAATAATCCAGTGATCAACAGCATGAGCATCAACCTGCACAATTGGAAACCGATGACATGTGTCAACCAAGTCAGCGAGCCTGACCTCCCGATCCCATTAGTCGCATCATACGACAAGCATGGGTTACTGAAAATCAACTCCAACCCGGACCTTTACAGGGGAGTGGCATTAGAAGCTGGGAAGTACAAGATAGACAATCTTTATGGATAACAACTTCTTTATTTCATGTGATACAGATTCTTGTACCACTGTCAAGTGGTAGGGCAACATGTGGCCTGAAAAGACTACATCACCTCAAATACCATATACCGATATTGGTACATGGTCTCTGATCATCTAAATGTGTACCTGCTTAACAACGGCACAAGAGCCTGTATCAAAATGTTGCACTCAAGAAATATAAGAAGTTGTTATCCATAAAGTTTGTCTGTATAATTCTATCTTGATGATCACAGGAGTTATAGAGCAGACTCACCTTCTCCTCCTGATCTGCCCCATGTCGGCCGGGAACATGAGAGAGGACAACAAGCCCTCCCTGTCTTCAGCTGAGCTACAGCAGACTCACCTTCTCCTCCTGATCTGCCCCATGTCGGCCGGGAACATGAGAGAGGACAACAAGCCCTCCCTGTCTTCAGCCGAGCTACAGCAGACTCACCTTCTCCTCCTGATCTGCCCCATGTCGGCGGGGAACATGAGAGAGAGGACAACAAGCCCTCCCTGTCTTCAGCCGAGCTACAGCAGACTCACCTTCTCCTCCTGATCTGCCCCATGTCGGCCGGGAACATGAGAGAGGACAACAAGCCCTCCCTGTCTTCAGCCGAGCTACAGCAGACTCACCTTCTCCTCCTGATCTGCCCCATGTCGGCCGGGGAACATGAGAGAGGACAACAAGCCCTCCCTGTCTTCAGCCGGGAGCTACAGCAGACTCACCTTCTCCTCCTGATCTGCCCCATGTCGGCGGGGGAACATGAGAGAGGACAACAAGCCCTCCCTGTCTTCAGCTCAGCTACAGCAGACTCACCTTCTCCTCCTGATCTGCCCCATGTCGGCAGGGAACATGAGAGAGGACAACAAGCCCTCCCTGTCTTCAGCTCAGCTACAGCAGACTCACCTTCTCCTCCTGATCTGCCCCATGTCGGCAGGGAACATGAGAGAGGACAACAAGCCCTCCCTGTCTTCAGCTCAGCTACAGCAGACTCACCTTCTCCTCCTGATCTGCCCCATGTCGGCAGGGGAACATGAGAGGACAACAAGCCCTCCCTGTCTTCAGCCGAGCTACAGCAGACTCACCTTCTCCTCCTCCTGATCTGCCCCATGTCGGCCGGGAACATGAGAGAGGACAACAAGCCCTCCCTGTCTTCAGCCGAGGCACTACAGCAGACTCACCTTCTCCTCCTGATCTGCCCCATGTCGGCAGGGAACATGAGAGAGGACAACAAGCTCTCCCTGTCTTCAGCCGAGCTACAGCAGACTCACCTTCTCCTCCTGATCTGCCCCATGTCGGCAGGGAACATGAGAGAGGACAACAAGCCCTCCCTGTCTTCAGCTCAGCTACAGCAGACTCACCTTCTTCTCCTGATCTGCCCCATGTCGGCAGGGAACATGAGAGAGGACAACAAGCCCTCCCTGTCTTCAGCCCAGCTACAGCAGACTCACCTTCTCCTCCCTGATCTGCCCCATGTCGGCAGGGAACATGAGAGGACAACAAGCCCTCCCTGTCTTCAGCTCAGCTACAGCAGACTCACCTTCTCCTCCTGATCTGCCCCATGTCGGCAGGGAACATGAGAGAGGACAACAAGCCCTCCCTGTCTTCAGCTCAGATACAGCAGACTCACCTTCTCCTCCTGATCTGCCCCATGTCGGCAGGGAACATGAGAGAGGACAACAAGCCCTCCCTGTCTTCAGCTCAGATACAGCAGACTCACCTTCTTCTCCTGATCTGCCCCATGTCGGCAGGGAACATGAGAGAGGACAACAAGCCCTCCCTGTCTTCAGCCGAGCTACAGCAGACTCACCTTCTCCTCCTGATCTGCCCCATGTCGGCAGGGAACATGAGAGAGGACAACAAGCCCTCCCGGTCTTCAGCTGAGCTGTCCGTGTGACTGTAGGTCAGCGGATCCTGCTTCACTTTCAGTTCAAAGAAAATCTTCACTAGTTTGATTCCCTCAAAAAGTGCCATGATGCAGAAAATCACCAGACACAGCACCACGAAACCTGACAAACAACACAAGACGGGAGGTTGTTATTACTTGTTTGACTGTACAATGCCTTTGTCTACAATGTCTTTCTTGTAAACAATGCCTACCATGTCTACCATAAACAATGTCTACCATTTCTATCTTGTATACAACATCTATCATGTCTACCTTGTACACAGCCCCAATAAGACAGGGGAACAATACAAGTGGGGAGGGTGCCATTGCTTGTCTGACCAGAGAAGTCTTCTTCAAAGAACTAGAAGTAACTCGGTGTCAATAGGGGCAATATATAGCTCTGAAACTAAGTGTGTACAGTATAAAGAAGTGGTCATACGCAGCAACCCTTGTCATGATTACATGCTTCTAATTAGTGGTGTTCTGATGATCGAAAACAATCGAAAATCGATCGAAAGAAGGATTAAAAATGATTATCGATTGTAAATAAATATTTTTGATTAATCGGAATTTTGTTGATTTGTATAACACCCTTGAATTAAGTATACTTACCATTTAATTTGATGAATATTCACGAACAAACATGCGCTCAACAAATTAAAGCTATGCGCATTATATAATTTTAACCACTGTTATTGTTTAATTACAATTCCAGTGTCTTACTTGCATGCATACATTTCATTGCATGACAGTATTAGTTATAAAAAAAACAATTAGAAAAAACCTGGGGAAAAACCCTTAAAATTGGTGATTACATTAAAAATGTATATTTTTCGATTATAGTCGATAATCGTTCATCACAAGTCCTCCGATAATTGATAGTGGATTTGGTTTCCGATTCCCAACACTAATACTTACAGACTCTAATACAATTGTATCATAACAGCTGATCATGGATGCTGACACACTGAAACTACTGACTGCCAAGCATTGGAATAGATTAACTGGTATGCATGCAAACAGTGTATAAAATAAGCCAAAAACCCAGCCAGACATCTGGGCTGGTAAATTCAAAAACTTATCAGCCCAGAAGAGATTTAACCAGTCCTTCTTAAGTCCTAAATAGACAGTGCCAGTGGACACGTATCTGAATATGTTTCTTCACCCGTCCATCGGGCTGGCTAGCTGTAAAATTAGACCGTCCGGCAGAAATCTAGCCCGTCTCGGGCGGTCGGACGGGCCTTATTTCATACACTGATGTAAAACAGTTTTAGGAGTTAAACACTCCAAAAGTCATGATTTATGGTGAATGTGGTTGTTTCCCACTTTCATAAAAAATCAAAAGTTATCAAATAGTGGTAAAGCTCATGGAGATGCCTGTATCAAGATTTCCTAAGAACTGTCATAACATGACACTAACAGAAAATAAAATTAGGTAATGAATGTTAGAAATGTACTTAATCATTGTGGTTTTAGTGATGTGTTTTTGTCACTATGTAATGCTGTATCACAAATGTTAAGGGAAATTAAGTTCAGACATGGAATTCATCTTTAGTACAGTCGCCTAAATGCACTTTCTGAAGTACTTTTATATTAGTTTTAAGTACAGAGCAATACCTCTATGCTATAATCTAAAACATATTCTTTGTTTCATTATCCAGATTTACGTGTTCTTCGCATGATCTTATGATGAGTGAGTGAGTGAGTTTAGTTTTACGCTGCACTCAGCAATATTCCAGTTATATGGCGGTGGTCTGTAAATAATCAAATCTAGACCACACAATCCAGTGATCAACAGCATGAGCATCGATCTGCGCAATTGGGAACCGATGACATGTGTCAACCAAGTCAGCGAACCTGACCACCCGATCCTGTTAGTGCCTCTTACGACAAGCATGGGTTACTGAAGATCAATATTCTAACCCGGACCTTCACGGGTAGATCTTATGATGAACAAGGGTAGACCTTGTAATGTTCTGAGAGAAAGTAGACTGTGTAAATTTTGTACAATACATGTAATTGTAGAGGAGTTCCACTTTTTGTTCGTGTGTCCTTACTACATTGATTTAAGGACTATATATCTACCACAGTATTACCAACCATACCATAATATAGGGCAAATTAATTTGTTAATGAATATCGATACTATAAGTAATATTCATAAACTTTGTATGTACATCCACCATGCTTTTGTATACAGAAAAAAAGAATTTTGTAAATATTGTGATCGAATGCCATTATTGTTCACTGACTTTGTACTATAGGCCTGTGACCAAGACTGTTTCATGCATGCCAGTAACCATGATGTAGCCATGGTAACATGTCTGCTAGTGGTGTTCCGATGATAGAAAATAATCAAAAATTGATCGAAAGAAGGATTAAAAATGATTATCGATTGTAAAAAACATATTTTTGATTGATTGGAATTTTGTTGTTTTAGCATGTTTAGTATAACACACTTGAATGAAGTAAACTAACCTTTACATTTGACGAATATTCACAAACAAAATTGCGCTCAAGTGTAAAGCTATGCACATTGTAAAATTTTAGCCACTTTTATTGCATTCGTGCATTTCATTGCATGACAGTATTAGTTATAAAAAACATTCATTAGGAAAAACCTGGGGAAATATCCTTATAATTGGTGATAACATTAAAAATGTATACATTTTAATTATAATCGATAATCGTTCACCACAAGTCCCCCGATAATCGATTGTGGATTTGGTTTCCCATTCCCAACACTAATGTCTGCTTTAATGACAACATGAATGTTTACACTTTCCTTTTATACCCAATGGAATCCGATTGTGACTGACTATTCTCTGGTATTGACATTATATCTTCACAAGATGTACATTTATGCCATAAAGAGAATCTTGTTCTCATTCAAACAAGAAACTTGAATAGGTGTTTAAAACAAACTGGTAAGAGAGGCTACCAGACACTCAGATTACTGCAGTGAAGTGTAACAGACAGACAGCATCAGAGTAACCATGGTAACACACAATTTGATTTCATATAGACACATCTTTATACAGTCTCAAAGTCACATAATTAGCTGAGTGGATAAATACTTTCAAACTCAGTAATTCAATGACTCACAACTTTTAGGTGAGGTGGGTTTTACGTCGTGCTTGAGAATATTTCGCTCATATGACGACGTGCATGCGTGTGTATGTGTGCATGCCGCTGCTTGTACTAGCCCAGACTTAAGCTGGTTTTATAGTGCTAGCCCACTGAGATACCATGCCGCAGTGAAGCATGAATACCCCACTCAGACACATTATACTGACTCCAAGCCGACCAGTCCTTTTTGTACCCATTAATGCCGAACGCCAGGCAGGGACCAACAAGAACCATATTTTAACGTCTTTTGGTATGACGCGGTCGGGGATCGAACCCGCGACCTTCCGCTCTCTAGGCGGACGCTCTAACCACCACACCACGGAGGCGGTCCACAACTTTTAGACATAAATAATGTATATATAAAGTAGCAACAAATGCCTTGTAAGCAGGTACATCTTCAACATTATTAATCTTACATTAATTTTAAAGGTCACATAAACCCTAGGGGGTACAAATACATAAATCACTAACTGGCATCGTTATAAATGAAACCCCGTCATTAAAACTACTCATTTCGACCTTTAATTGACTTAAATCGACCTTTTTGACAACAGTGCACAATTCTCACCCGCGAACGAAATTTCAACCAATCAGAGCGGCGCGCCTCTGTGACGTCATATGAGGAATAGCTTTGAGAGCCGATGCAGAATTCATCTACATTTTAGGGGGTAAATTATCGTGTTTACAGGCTTGTATAAACCTGAAATCGTGACAATTGTTGTGGAAAATGAAAGCTATATGTTCTCACAATCTACTGTCATTTAATTTTGTCTCCTGCTTTGCCTAGTTTCGAGGTTACAACTTGTTTTCATAGACGATTCTGTCAAAATCGATTGGTGTCGTTAGGCCCTATTTGTATAATGACTGATCCAAATTGATCCCATTTCTGTGTTGTTTTACCTCGATATTTAATCATGTCATGTAAAAATCTGTTTGTATTCTCAAAACAGTGTCGGCCCATAAGTTTTCACATGCAATACAGCAATTAATACTCCCTCGTTTTAACCCGTGTTAGGTGGTATAAACCTACACATGTTATTTGTCATCATTCACTTGATGGTAAGTTAATGAATTTATAACTGGTATAATTAGTGGTAACACACTTAGATTACCGACAAAGGTTCCCATTTAGCATTTCTTGTGTCTGGAGTAAATATTCAACATTATAAACATCGATCAAAGGATTAACCGATAACACGCTGATTGATTAATTACTTTTATCTTACACAGCGGAATTGTCAAAAGGTAGTGTTTATGTATGTAGATTTACTAATCTATACTGAATACACTCTGTCGGTGTCGGTGTCTGCGTAAAACAACGTCCTTCTTTCAAAGGATTAACCCGGCAATACATTGATTGATTGCCCATTATTGGCTAACTAAATTACTGTTTTAAAGAAAGGCGGACATTATGCAATTAGTTGCCAGGTGTGCTATCTTGGGTGACCAATGAGACTATACACCAATACCTGAAAAGATTTATCACTTTTTAGGTATATTAAACTGTTAAAAGACACATCATTTGGAACAGTTTTGTGGATATTGATGGATACATTCCTCGAACAAGGTAATGGCCTGATATTGTTCCTATAACTTTAATCTGTTTTAATTTTAATATTTGCATTTTTTTTTATTCATTTGTCGTAGCATTCAACAGAATCATTGTTTTAGCCCGTGAAGTGTAATGAGACAGACAACATGCACTAGGGTGTGTGTGCGAATTATGATTCACATTGGCAAACTATAAAATGTCTAGATATTACAGTTCTGTTATAAATTCACTATAAGTATCAGCAGATCGTCTGCTTTTTATTTAGTTTCCAAATGCATACAAGTGTGATAATTAACTAATTAGGATTATAAGACCAAATATAAAGACGCATTACATTGACTAGTATCTACATACTGGTGAGTGGACATTAACCATGGGAATGTAGCAAGAAATTTATCGGCGCGAGTATTGTGACTTCGACCCCCACCTCGCTTCCGTGGAAGAAATCGTTATGTTATAAGTTGTGTCATGCAAAATCTGTTTGGTTATGATTCCAATACATATTTAACAACGAGTAGAAAGTAGTCTTGATTTTCTGACTTGATGAAATCAAACTATAATCTCATTAATTCTAACAGATTTTTTTGATTTTTTTAAAAATGGCGCTTCCTGTCGGGAACATCCGCCAGTCTGAGGATAAATGGTATTTTAGGTTTGTTTTCACCGAGTTACAAAATCAAAACTACTTTCTACTGGTAGTAAAATATGTATTTTATTGATAATTAATAGGATTTTGCATGACATGACATATGTATATCATAACAATTTCTCGTGGTAGTGAGGTGGGTCAATATAATACTACTTACAATATTATTGTTACTTGACCACAACCTCACTTCGAGGGAAGAAATCGTTATGTTACAAGTTGTGTCATAGAAAATCTTTATGGTCATCAATCATATGCATATTTTACTACAACTAGTAAGTAGTTTTGATTCTTTAACTTCCGTGAAGCGATCTGAACACAAGTAAGATATCGTTTCAGGCTTCCACAACGCCACGCTTCGCACTCACAAACATAACCCATTTAGCACGAACTGCGGGGGTCCTGTGGAAATCTGTGCATGGGGACACCATCGCCCGACCCCTAGGAGCAATTGGCGACAAAGCAACGATTCGCATGTCGCCGTTGATGTCGAGAAATCATCAAAATGATGAGCGTGCTACACATTTTCTATACAACTAACTGAAAATCGCTCCTCATATGACGTCACTGCAGTGCTCTGGCGACAGAGTTACGTAACCTGTCTGTGGTTTCGTTGGCGGGCGAGAGGGAAGCAGGCGACTTTTTGGCCACTTTTAATCGCTCGGTATTAATTAACCACAAGTTTTTAAAGAATAAATTTGGTGTTCCGCATAAGACTAACCACAAATCTTTCATATGTAATGGTTAAAAGAGTAACAAAAAACAAAGTTTAGTGGTTCTTTAACATCAAGTAATACAGTAGCTGTCAACAAACCATGTGATAGGATCATAGAGTGTGTGATGAGCTGTCTTGTCATGAGTACTGAATGACTTTAGAATTATCTTCTGTAAGCTGATGAACAATGACTAAGGGATTACTATTATATTAAGCAGGGCTCCAACGTAGCAGGTACGCACCACAGCAATGGTGTACGGTCTTAGAATCATTTATAGACGTATGTATCTGAAAAAGTATCATTTTATTGTTTATTGACCTGTTTGCACAAAAGTAGCAATATTGTGGTGCATATATGAAACGAAACACAAGACTACTGATAGTCCATTAAATTCCATGCAGTACACTAAATGTACTCTTAAGGTTTTCCGGACCCGTGAAGATCCGGGGTAGAATAGGTCTTCAGCAACCAATGCTTGCCACAAAAGGCGACTATGCTTGTCGTAAGAGGCGACTAACGGGATTGGGTGGTCAGGCTCGCTGACTTGGTTGACACATGTCATCGGTTCCCAATTGCGCAGATCGATGTCATGCTGTTGATCACTGGATTGTCTGGTCTAGACTTGATTATTTACAGACCGCCGCCATATAGCTGGAATATTGCTGAGTGCGGTGTAAAACTAAACTCACTCACTCACTTAAGGTTTTCCAGTACTCCTATGTTGAAAATATAAGGAGTACGTACTCCTGGTGTTGAAAAATTATCTGGAGCCCTGTATTAAGGCACTGAAGAAAAACATTATGCATATTCTGCAAGCACCTAATTTTCTATGATATATACCATCATTACATGACATATTGTTAATATACGAAAAGCCTTTACAGGGCTCAATTTAGTGCTTTGATACTTGCACTGGTGCAACCCAATATTACAAAGTGAAACCTAGTTATTAGTCTAACTTGCACCAGGTGCAAGCCAATTTTTTAGACTTCAGCTGGAAAACAGTATGATGAGGAACTGACTTGGAAGAGTGAATCTGATGACTGTATGAGCAGTGACTGAAGGACTTACTGTTCATGAAATTTTAGGAAGTAAGATAACTAATCTTATCAGTCCCAGATTTCTTTTGTTATAATGTTCTAAACTATCATTACCAAAACTCAAGCATCATATTTTATACAAGATTTTACATTGAGCAGCAGGTGCAACCTGTTTTTGTCTGATGCAACAAGGTTTCTACCTAAGGTTGCACTGGGTGCAAGTAGGTTTTATTTCTTTAAGTCGAGCCCTGCTTTACTACTCTTGACAATCAAAATAACTGGTTTCTTCATCAAAACTAGGTTTTCAGGATTGTGATGCTGTCTGTACTTCCAGAACATTACTGTATTCATTGTTATACAATGATATATCTAGGATTCTGAAATAAGTAAAATTTGACAAATTGGAAATTAGTCTTTTTTAAATTTATGGGTATGTTAACATAATATTTAAACATTGCACTTATAAATCCCTAGTAAAACTGGCACACTGAAAGGTGAATAATCACAAACAAAATATCAAAATGTTCATATTCATTTTCACACTTTAAAAAAAACTTGATCAGTCAATAAACTTTTCATACCAAATGTAACAGCCTTACTTACAAGTAAAAATACTCCAGCAAAAATAACAATCAATCAACTTCCTTTGCAAAGGTAATCCTCTTACTCACTTGTATAAACACTCAATCAACAAACACAAACCAATCAATTTCATTTCCTTGCCAAGCTTAACGAGCTACATTACATGAAAACACCCATAGATCTAAAACTTTCCCTGTCATTAGTGTCAAGCTTAACAGACTTAATAACATGTAACATGTAAACACTCTCTAATAGTGATAATTTAATGATCAGTCAACATTCCATGCCAAGCTAAACGGGATTACTTATAAATGATATCTTTCTATGTCAAGGAAAACTGATTTGTATGGATAGTCAACTTCTTTATTGCAATGAGTGCGATGTTTCAGGTGTAGGTACTAACACCGTTATCAAGCAAGTGTCAAGCTTAAAGCTTACATGCAACGCAAAACACAACTTTGCAGATTCTGATACCTTTCGGTATGGACTTACAGTAACAAATCAAAAATGCAAATTCAAGTTATAAAGTTGAAAAAAAACGCGATGAAAAAAGTCCAGCGTGAAATCGGAGTTCAAATGATTCACTAAAAAAAACCAGCTCGGGTGAAAAGTGTTTTCAACAGCTGTGCTGCGCTGCGCACATAGTACATGAATAGGTTTGCATAGCTTGAGCTGGGATGCCTATACACACATAAAGAGCCCTGAGCGTATCGACAAATGAACCAGCCAATGAAAGACATTGTTACACTTAAGTGCACTCCCACCCGCTCTGACTGGGTTCGATATCCTGGGTGCTTCATTTCATGGGTAGTAAACCCTAGTACAAAATATTGCACTTTTGATTTGCGATTGTACACTTATAATTTTGTTTATTTGTTTCTTCATAATCAGCAATGAATATTATATGTCATGAATAAATGATAATTGTGCTTTAATTATGTATATTTTGTTGGTTGCATCTAAGCTTTAACAGACCTATTCACAAGTGAACACTATCAGCAATGATTTAATGAGCACTCAACTTTCCATGCCAAAGATAACACATTTACATCTACAAACACTCAGTTACAACCAGTCTAGCTAGACATCACACACTTAGCACGCATGGTGAGTGACAAGTAAGACAAGAGATCATCCATTTTTAACCATAACTCTCACACTGGGTCATATCAAAGTATGTGTTACAAAAACTGATTAAGGACAAAGAGGTTTGGTATGTGATCAAAGGTCACTTGACGTAGTATCAAAGTTTATTTTATGACCATTGGATTAAGGAAATAAATCAAAGAAATAGAAACTAACTCTAATTATGCTTTACACTTCCTCGTTTTGGCTATTTTGACTTTTGGTTTGTGGCCATTTTGAATTTTAGCATGGCCAATTTGACTGATTCATGTGACTATTTAAATTTTGTTATGTGGCTTTCCAGTTTTGGGTGTTGTTGCTTTGACTAGAGTGAATGTGGCCCTTTTGACCTGTTGATTACTGATATAAATTGGAAAATATTGATTCTGATTTGTGAATTTTCACTGACATTTCCATTATGAGTCTTCAGCAAGTCACCAGATAATTCCCTGTACATTACTAGCATGCAAAGAAAATTGTATGTTATCTAGACTAACATCAAATGCTTCATACCAGGATCATACAAATAAAATAGAAAGTATATCAACAGGCTAAATAAATAATGGCTAAATGATTTAAACAAAAACAAATCCCAAAAGGAATTGGATTGGAGGACTAGCAAAGCATATTTAAACACCTGTCCCTACACCATGTACAAAGACATTTAAGAATTCAAAATGAATCAACTGTACATACAATACAACATTAAGATAACTGTACCTACTGTAGCAAGTCTTAAGATGGAAATATGCAAAACTCATGCTAGTATTCCTCAAATTACTTACCCTTCGCGCCAGATATGTTCAGATTCTGGAACAAGAAATTTTTCAGCTCCGTTGTCGTGAAGAAGTATGTCTGTATATTGGAAAGGCACAAACGTCAAAACATGAACATCAGCATCATTCATCAGTTAAGTAATATAAATAGCAGGGCTCGATTTAAGAGATGTTAACCTACTTGCACCGGGTGCAACCTAAGATAAAAACCTAGTTGCACAAGCCAAATTCCATTTGCACTGCCTTTATTGTAATATGTAATGAAAGAAATATGCTATTGAATTATGTACATGTTTCATTCAGAAGTTTACCCACTAAAAATTGACTTGCACCTGGTGCAAGTTAGACTAATAACTAGTTTGCACTTTGTAATATTGGGTTGCATCAGCAGGGCTCCAGATAAGGGCCGTATCAGCGTATGTACGGATAAAAAATATGCACGATACGGTAGGAAATAATTTAGAAAACGTAGCAGATACGCACCACAGCAATGGTGTACGGTCTTAGAATCACTTACAAACGTATTTATCTGAAAAAAAGTATTGTTTTATTGTTTATTGACCTGTTTACACAAGAGTAGCAACGTTGTGGTGCATATATGAAACGAAACACAAGATTACTGATAGTCCATTAGCTTCCATTCAGTACTCTAAATGTACACTTAAGGTTTTCCAGTACTCAATATTGAACAAATAAGGAGTACGTACTCCTGATGTTGAAAAATTATCTGGAGCCCTGCATCAGTGTAAGCAACAAAGCACTAAATCGAGTCCTGAATAGTCATTAAAATATTGGTGTGATCAGACTGAATAAACACTGCGAAAAATCTGGTAGTCCTGGCAAACTGAAATATAGTAGCACTGAAATAAATGAATTACCCCCGAACCGGCCCCAAGCCGAACCGTCCCCTGAAATTTAACCCGAACCGGCCCCTGATATTTGCCCCAAACCGGCCCCGAGAATATTTCTACATTGACATATGAATTAAAGTTCCTTTAACATAAATGACAAAAACATATTACTCATATGTCTTTACATGTAATGACGAGTTCTGTAAAAAAATTTTAGCGAATATTAGTGTCGATGCGAGGCAAGTGAACATGCAAGTGCTGCTGATCACGGAGATCCCATGGTAGAGGACATTTTATGTAATTCTTTTAAGAATCTAGAAGATCAATTGCAAAACAATACTAAAGTAAAAGGTGTACTTACATTTCGTTGTATCGTATCCACAGAATTGACACATTAATTCAATACAACAATAGCACATAAATCCAATATAATGAATTCACGTTTCACCTTTGTTATGCCCAAGTTTCCAGTAACGAAAAATAATGTCGTCCTTCATCTTTTCCCATGTTTCCATGTGTGGAACATTTGTCAAGATTTTCAACACACATTAACCACCTTTCACAGACTGAATTCTGCTAACATTATGAAAACTAAAACATTCTTCAGCTCCAAAATTAAACTGTTATTTTACTCGCGTCTCACTGAGCGATTAAAGTGAATGTGTTGTTTTAATATTTCTTTGAACGGATTATCGTGAGCGAATTAATTTACATGTTGTCTTAAGCGTATGCTCTTACTTGACACTGATTGCGTTCACTCAATGTCAACTGCACCGTATACTGTTATCTTCACCTTGCGTAAAATCTTATAAAAAGACATTATCTGAAGGACATGATTCATAATTTGTTCATCATGGATAACGTGTCCGATTCTTGCGTTTACTGCTCATTGAGATGCCTCGAAAGACAACAGTGCCTGCAGTGTGTGATCTTCATGTCTGTATCTATGTAATAAATTAATTGAAATCTTCATGTCTGTGTATATATATAATAAATTAATTGAAATCTTCATGTCTGTATATATATAATAAATTAATTGAAATCTTCATGTCTGTATATATATACATGTATTATAAATTAATTGAAATCTTCATGTCTCTTATGTTTAATAAATTAATTGAAATCTTCATGTCTGTATCTATATAATAAATTAATTGAAATCTCCATGTCTGTATCTATATAATAAATTAATTGAAATCTCCATGTCTGTATCTATATAATAAATTAATTGAAATCTTCATTAATTGTCTGTCTGATTATCGTTAACCCAGGGGCCGGTTCGGGTGCGGGGACGGTTTGGGTTAAATATCCAGGGGACGGTTTGGGTTAAATATCCAGGGGCCGGTTCGGCTTGGGGCCGGTTCGGGTGTATCCCAAATAAATAATCAAGACACAGACTGAGTCAACTGACTGACATTTGCCCTGTGAAGACAGAAAATGCCATCTGTGCTTGTCTCCCCATTTATACTACAGCATATGAATTTCATTATCCATCTAAATGACCATACTTCAGTCCTGAAAGACAGGTACATCTACAGGGAAAAGATTCTACCTTTATCTAAATGTAAATGGATGTTATGAGCTACAAAATTAAAAGACATAAAGAAACTTTCTAAACATATTTAGATTATTTCTACTATTGTATATCAAACCAGTAAATATATGTATGGTTTGCATCATGTGTAATCATGTCCATAATTGGCATGACTGTAAATATTCTGAAAAATATGCTGTTATACCACCGTCATTGCTTTTTTTAATTCAAAACATTTCACGATGCACATATATCAAGCGGTTGATAACTTTAATAAACACCCGATGCGAGTTGAGTTTCCTTCAGCATACGAATTACCATGTCTAAACACAAACTGGCTAATTGGAAAATACAGTAAAAGTAGCTGTCAGTATGATATTTCGTTTATCACGTATAAAGTACTATTGTACAAGTTATACTGTTACTCAATATACCATACGAAGTACTTACGGGCATATCCATGATGATCTTGAGGAATAATTCGGTTTACTTTCAATTGTATCTATATAAAATGGCACATATCCGACTATTGTGAAGAAAGGAGACGAGATAAACAATATATCTCAACCAAGAGAGTCAAACGGGAAATGTTTAGATAAAATGTCGGCCATTTTCAGATCATGTGACTGATGAGTGCCCGACCTGAGGTTTGTATGTAAACATGCATATGATTGGTTGGATTTGTGATAGACATATAATTTGATTGGACGCATGCAGAACGGTTCGAAATTCGAACACAAACACCAACTAAACACTCACGGGGATGCGTGTGTGTTAGGGTTTTAGAGAAGAGATGGTAGAAACGGTGAAAAGATAAGATTTGATCTTCCTTATCATGGATAACAATCCCGTTAGTAGTGTGGCTGGCGATTCGGCGTGGCAATCGCTGAACAATGTATGTGATGACTTGGAGCAGACAGCCACTCCAAGCAGACGGAGTAGAAAATCCTGGTTTGAAACCCCACCAGCAACTAAATTGGAGATCGCCTGTGAAAAGAAGAAAAGACGTTCCTCGGGAGGTGGAAAACGGAAAAGCATGGAAAATATGGAAACTCTTCTGTTGACACACTTCACGAATCCTCCCAAAATTTCATTCGGTAAAATCAAACTTGGAAAATCAAGACATCGACATCTTCTTGTGAAAAATGTCCACGACTATGAACAAAGTGTTACTATTGAGAAATTTCCACACAAAAAGAAATTTGAGGTTGACTCAAAATCCTTTACGGTTCCAGCTCTAGAGAGCGTAGTTTTAACATTTTCCTGGACACCTGAAGAAGATGGCAATGTTCGGGAAATGATTTTGTTCAAGGTGGATTCTGCCTACCGGCTTCAGGCATTTCTCCTCGGCTGTGCAGAGTCACCAAAACCTACTAAAAGGACGGTATGTATTATAGGAACACGTTACGGCTCTATGATTATTTTAACAGTTGTTTTAAGTTTGCTGTTATCCTATCCTAATGGCAAACACAAGTCTCTTTGTTTTTGTTGAAGTGGTCCGAGTCAGACCCAGCCACCATTTCATTTCACTCGACTGACTGACTGACTGACTTTGGTTTTACGCCGCTTTTAGCAATATTCCAGCAACACCACGGCAGGGGACACCAGAAATGGGCTTCACACATTGTACCCATGTGGGGATTCGAACCTGGGTCTTCGGCGTGACGAGCCAACGCTTTAACCATTAGGCTACCCCACCGCCCCTTCATTTCACTCGAAAGATACAGGAATTCAGAACTGTACAGATATATATGTTTGGTTATTGATCCATTCAAACATGTCAGGATTTTTGTTTTCTTAATTGGCTGTTTAAACTGCTAAAAGACAGCGGTCTGTAAGTAATCAAGACCTGGACAGACCATCCCATTCAATTGACATCAATAAGACATTAGGCGTTAGCATTGATACTGGTCTCCTCTTATCATGCTTATGATTTAGCATAGGTTGAAGAGCAGTTCTGAACCTGTTAACTTGCTGATCACTTTGACAGGATTATGGGGATGGGTTAATATACTCTAATTAACATGATTATTTGAAACGAAATTAATCCAAGTGATATACATGAGATGTACACTTTTAGGCTTGGGTTTTGATACTGGTTGACCGTGTTTAGTGTTGAAAGGATTTTGTTCTTATTTATAATGTTTATGAATGCAATAAATGAGTGTAAAAGTCACCGGTGTTAACAATAACAGTACATCAGCCTGGCTAAGCAGTAATATTACTAACAATATGTTATGCCATTTCAGCAGAAGAAAGGATTGCTTGGTGCCAAAGTAAAACGCCCCTTCTCCATCCTCCACACTCCAGGACTTGCCTGTATCCGTGACAACTACAGTCCACAAGAAGCTGAGAAAGAGCCATTCATTCCAGGGAAGTTCCGTGTCCTGCAAGAAAACACCCAAGTTCAAAACCAAACCGCCCAGAACAAGGGACATCCAGTTTCTTTCCCTCCCCCACGGATGGAGTCAACAGCCATTGCTAAGGACACAAACTCCTCCATCTGCCGATCAAGTGTTTATAATAAGATGACTGACATTGGATGCTCCCCGACACTACCTGTTTCTGATTTCAGCCCCATTCCTAAGACAGAGAGTGAAAATATTCATCTTGTGGATTCCTGTTGTTCTATCATGCAAACCTCCCCTCTGAGAGAAGTGGTTATCAACAGATCCAATGAGGCAAAGACAAAAGATATGGCAAAGCTGGAAGCAAGAGGCCCTGACTTGAAGTTCTCTGTCTTAGACAGGAAAGAAATAATAGATGTTGAGGTCCGAGAAACTGTGAAAGATCCACAAAGGGCAGTAACTCCGCGAGCAAATGATCTTCGAGCAACAGAGCGGACTGAATCACAGAAGGAATATTTGTCCCCAGACAGTTTTTTGAATGACTCGCTTCGTTTTCCGGCCACCACTGGACAGGAAAGAGATTAAGGACACAGAGGACAGAAGTATTATTCGGAAACCTCGTAAATCATGGACACCGCAGAAGATGAACCCACTAAGAATTTCAGATGGTGATAAATCCGAGAAAAGATACTTGTCACCAGAAAGTTTCCTAAATGATTCCCTTGCTTCAAGAATCTCTGGTATTGGTGCTACTCCCGGGAAGCCATATTTTGACACAACTCCAGATTTCAACCATGATGAATTTGAAAAAAGTATCATCAGTCCAAACTCTTTTCTTGAAGAGCTCAGCTCTACGAGAAATGATTCCCTTGACGATCGTCGGTTCTCTCGCATTCCAAGTCCAGGGTCAGTCTTGAATGGCTCTGTACCTCATGATGTTATGGTGAAACAGTTAAAGTCAGTGAGGACAAGCCTTTATGAAAAGAGCCTTGAGTTAGAAAACAGAAAGACACAAAATGTCAAGTTTATTGTGGCCAGTAAAACAACAAGACAAACCTCCACAAACCATACAAGGAAGACAGGTGTGTTTGCACCAACTCTGTCATCTGCTAGACGAGCAACTTTCATTTCAAAGAAAGCAGAAAAAGAAAAGCTCTCCAGTACTCCCAATGCACCAAGCCCCAGACGAGCAACCTTCTTAGTGTCAAAGAAAAAGCAGGGAATGAAGAAATCTCCCAAAACACAAGAACCTCCCAAAGGACAGAAGAAGATGACAAGGTCTCAGAGATTCACCAATATCCATAAAGCTGGTCAACAGGAACAGAAGACGATGTCCAAGTCCCACAGTAAAGTAAGGCGGAGGAGCAGTGGTAATGGAGAGTCTATTGTGAAGAAAACCAGGAAGACTAGAACAGAAGTGTTTCTGACCAGTGTTGAAGCCTCTGATGCTGAGATGAAGGAGAACCAAAGTGATGATGATGTTGACTGTAAAAAATCTGTTGGCAATCAGAACTCCTCTGCCACCATCACCAAAGACAGGCCATTCATGATGACTACTGACATGGACCGGTCGTCAGGGAGGCAGTTGTTTGTAGAAGAGGATGTGAAGGATTCATCTGCCACCATCACCAAAGACAGGCCATTCATGATGACTACTGACATGGACCGGTCGTCAGGGAAGCAGTTGTTTGTAGAAGAGGATGTGAAGGATTCATCTGCCACCATCACCAAAGACAGGCCATTCATGATGACTACTGACATGGACCGGTCGTCAGGGAGGCAGTTGTTTGTAGAAGAGGATGTGAAGGATTCATCTGCCACCATCACCAAAGACAGGCCATTCATGATGACTACTGACATGGACCGGTCGTCAGGGAGGCAGTTGTTTGTAGAAGAGGATGTGAAGGATTCATCTGCCACCATCACCAAAGACAGGCCATTCATGATGACTACTGACATGGACCGGTCGTCAGGGAGGCAGTTGTTTGTAGAAGAGGATGTGAAGGATTCATCTGCCACTGTCACTAAAGACAGGCCATTCATGGAAGTCACCAAAGAACGGAGAACGTCAGGGAAATGTTTGTTTGCTGCTGATGAGAATGAGTTTGAACAAAACTCATCAGCAACTGTCACAAAGGAAAAGCCTTCAGTGCTAATATCAGATATGAGAAGAGGATCTGGAAAACAACTGTTTGCTGATGAAGGACAGAAAATTGTTGAGTCAAAATCAATCGCATCAGAAACTCGCACAAAAGAAAGACCTGTAGAAGTGTTGGATGTAAAGAGAGGATCTTGGCAACCATTGTTAACTGATGTTAGAAGACTGTCTTCTGCAGGTGATGCAGAGAAGTCCCATTCAGAATTATCCATGACAGATGACTTGAAGGAACAGCAGATACTGTCGAGATTGGAAAAGGTTGAATTTGGTTCTCCATCCAAGATGTTCAACAACGTATTTGTGGGGGAGTCTTGTGTTGGCCGGATGTCAATGACTGTCACGAAGGAGCGGCCATCTCTGTCAGTTGTCCCAGAGTCTCTGTCAGGGGAAGGGTTGTCTATGACATCCTCAGTTACAAACACACCAAAGTCCTTTACTCAAGCAAGTATTAGTGGTATCTTTTGTAAAGATCATTCTCTGAATGGCAACACTAGGAGATTCTCTGGGAAGAAGTTGTTTGGAGCCGACCCCATGTCACCTAGTAAAAGCCCTGTCCTGTCATCCATCTTCAGGGATATTGGTTCTCCGACTAGAATCCCATCCAGTCCTGATGTGGAGGTGACCAGGAGGATAACACTAACCGTCACAAAATCCAGACCCTCAGATGCCCTCATTGAGGCTACCAAAGCAACTGTTAAAGATACTAAGGAGACAGAAGTAGATGCAGATGGTCAGTTTGTTGTTGCTGCCAAGGAAGAAACCTTTGTGAGTGTTTCTGAGTCCAAAGAAGGCTACTGCAAGAGAAAGAAGATACTAGGCATGGCTACTGAAAACGAGAAAGCAAGTTACAGTTTCAAGAAGGTTGACAGTTACGAGAAAACTGTTAATGTCACAGAGCTGCAGACATTGCAGGAGCAGACGCGTTCATGGGAAATCACCAGCAGTCCACAATCAAGGCCTCGCTCAAACTCCTACACTATCACATCCCCCATGTTCTCTGTCACACCAACTGCTATTCCGAATAGTCCTTCTTCAGAGAACTCACGCAGATCAACCCATGTCATCTCGAAACCCAAAGTCCTCGATGTGTCTGCCAACCCTCGTCGTCTGTTTCCCCCCTTGGATGATGATGAACAGGACAGTCTAGTTGTCGGCCAGTTGGAGGATAAACAAGGAGAGAGTGTCTCCTCCCTCAAATCCACGAGCAGTGTGTACTCTGCTGATTCTTTAGACTCAAGAAAATATACATCTGACCTGTCTGATTCAAATCAGTCCAAATCTGTTGACCTGTTTGAAAACTCATCTGACCAATCAAAGAAACTTGTTGACGATCAATTCTGGATGGTGGAAAATGTTCATTGAATGTGTCTAATATAAGTCGGTCTAAGTCTAGCCTGTCAGAATCAGGTGATATTTTTGAAAAAACACCAGACTGTGAATCAAAGGAATCATTTGAAGAACCAATTTGCCAGGAAGAGCTGAGCATGAATGATTCTGTATTTGAAAGGAATGAAAATGCTGAGAATATTCCACCAATCACTCACATGCAACAAAAAGTTGTTGAAACAGCACTGAAGCCTGCTATTCCTGAGGTGAAAGAAACTATGAACTTACTGAAGGCGGGCAAGAAATCAACACCTGATGATCAGACAAAGGAAGGGAAGAAGAGAAGGAAGGTGCGGGCATCCAAGGTTTCTCCAACACCTGTAAAGTCTGACATGTCAACAGATAAGTCGGTTAAAGATGGAAAGGAGAATAGTATCAAGATGTTCATCGCCATGGAGACAGCCGAGAAAGATAAGTGTGTGAAGGCTGAGGTGAAGCGCCAAGAAAAGAAACCCCTCTTGTCCCGGGGACTGAATCTGGTGACGAAGAAGCGGAACCTGACAGAAGACAAGGACACTGTTGAGAAGCAGAACTCCAAGAAGAGGTCAAAATCGGACCCCACAGAGAACACTCAGCCCAAGAAACCAGGTAAGCTGACATTTGTTTGTACTCCTAATCATTGTTATACCAACTCTCGCAACCCGGGTTGGAAATAACTTTAAAATTGCTAGTGTAATCTGGTACAGTGGCACATGTAAAATCACTTGCCCTGATAATTTTTCCACTATACCGCCGTTTTCTTGTTGATTTTTTAAATAAACAACATGATAAACATTGGAAAGTCAACTGGACACCGGTACAGTGTGATATACAAATTTGCTTGCCCGACAGAAAAAAACACTGGACTCGGACGTCGGGCAATGGGTTATTTCCACCCCTGCAAACTATCATCTGTTCCATGTCCTTTTACAGTTTGAATGCCAACAACTCATAGTTTTGAATCCTGAATAAATCCCTGCTACCTATATCATGTACAGGGTTTTAATTCACAAAATTTCCAACTTTCAACATGCAATAAGGATTCAAGATAAAACATAAACCTGTTATGCTTTGTGTTTGGCGCCACCATCTCATGTTCACAAAATTGCTCCCAATTCAAAATATATTTTAACCACATCCTCTACACTTGCACCATTGTTTTTATAAAGAATTGTCACAATACCATGTGATTTGCATATTCTTTTAAAAACGTGACATCTATAGCTGATGACTGATTATTGCAGGGTTCCTGTCTCGGTTAACAGCGACCACCAAGAAAAGTAAGCCTCCAGTTAAAGGCGCTGGCGCAGTCCAAGCTGATTCTTCTCAAGAAAGAAAAACAAGGTCAGTGTTTCATATGTAATGTGTTTCACAAAATAAACCAGGGAATTACAAATTGAAAAGAGCAATGTGAATAGTTATCAATCTCAGTGAGTGAGTGAGTTTAGTAGTTTTACGCTGCTTTTAGCAATATTCCAGCAATATCATGACGATGGGGCACACCAAAAATGGGCTTCACACATTGTACCCATGTGGGTATTCAGCATGAAGCAAAACCAAGTCTTCCGCGTGATGGGCAAACCCTTTAACCACTAGGCTGCCCAACTGCCGCTATCAATCTGTGTGGAAAGGAGGGGCTAAATGTTTGTGAAGTCACATTCAGCCAGTTTTAAGATGGATATTTATCTCATTTTCATGGATCTGAGGTCACACAGTACTTTCGTAACTGTTCTCAGTGGAAACTGTCATATTACAGTGAGTGTGATTCAATGTGACAGCATTCTGGTTTCTATGTTTCTGTCATAACATTGCATAGCCCTTGAATGTCAAAAGCCTTGAAAATAACAAAAATAGCTTAGAGGCCTTGAATTTGTGCAAAATGACTTTTACAAGTTAATAAAAGTATATTGGGGCGTTAGGGAAGTCATTGAATAAAGCCTTGAACGTCAAAAATCCTTTCGAATCCCCACATGGGTACAATGAGTGAAGCCCATTTCTGGAGTCCCCGCCGTGATATTGCTGGAATATTGCTAGAAGCTGCGTAAAACCAAACTCAGTCAGTCAGTAATAAAAGTATTAATACATCTCATACTGACTTTAAGGTCTTGTAGGGGAGTATGCTGGTTTTACAGAAAAAAATATTGACAAAGGCCAAGAACCCAAATTTTCCGTAAAAAGGCTTGGAAATGACAGTTGTAAGCCTTGAACTAGGCCTTGAATTTTCGAGTTCATATCTGTATGGGAGTTGTCCTGTGTTGTAGGTATGCCAAGGCACCCTCTACCATACGCAGCCAAGAACATGTACTATGACGAACGATGGATGGAGAAGCAGGACCGGGGCTTCGTGCACTGGCTTAACTTCGTCCTCACACCACCAGATGAATATAACTACGTGGTCAACAAAACCAGGGGTTTGTACTGCAATCTTCACAATGCTCAATACTAGTCATAATACAGTCAGTGATATATGTTGTAGTGTTGGGAATTGGTTGAAATCTCACAATTGATGATTGGTTCATTACCAACGAGCAATCATCGAAAAGAATTGGTTAGCATCATTTTTCAGATTTTCCTATTCAGGTTAAGTTGTTATTGCAGATACATATAAAGAAAAAAACTTGTGGTTCTCTGTTGTTGTTTTTTGTTTTATTTAGAAACTGCGCAAATTGCATTGACAAATTTCACAGTCTGTGTAAAATGATGCAACTTGCTACTTTAAAGTGATGACTATTATATCATGAAGTTCAGAACATAAAGTTTCCAGTGTCTTCAAGAAATATTCACTCATGACTTTTCAGCAAGTGAAGTGAGTTTTCTAAGAATTAAACATGTTCTCAGGCTCTGTCAACTTCTAAGATCTGTTCCATCATCAAGCATTTCAAACACTAAAAAGTAGTTCCAAAATCGTTTGTGTTCGATTATGAGAAAATGTAATCGATTGCTTGGTCGTATGGTCACTGCGACCAATCTTCATTTATTTCAATTAATTGGAACACCACTAGTATGTTGTCTGCTGCTCATGTCAGTAATTATAACCAATGATAATCAAGGTTATGGTTTTGTAAATTGTACAGGTGACTAGTATGGGTGACAACTAATGGGAAGAAAGAAGGCAGTATTCAGCATTACACTGTGTTACACTATAACACTGATTGCAGTCTAACATGTCCAAAATTCCAAAGTTAAATAAAATAATTTTGGCAAAGGACAGTTGTAATCCCAGACACTTAGACACACCCCTTTATACTGGACATGGTGCTAATACTGCAGGGCTATACACCTTCTAAATGTTTTACATAATGAAAAGACAAAATGAAGAAATTTGAACTTGCACAATAGTTTTGCTCAGTCACATAACAAGGGCGTAGCTGTCATTATAAAAAAAAGCCTGGGCTTACATATGATTGTTGCGAAAAATGTTAGGCAAGTCCTCAATACTATCTAAATGTAAAGCTTTGCAACCTATCGGGCTTACACGAAAAAATTTGCTTGCTCGGTGCCTGCTTAAGGAATATGTAAATGAATGAATCACTACACAATATCAAGAGGATGAAATGTCCTTGGTCCATTGGTTACTTCATGTCATTCTGTGCTGAGACAAAATGATACTTGGCGGCTGTGAAATATATGGAATTGTTAGCAGATCCCAAACAACATATCTTCACAACAAGCCTGTCACTTATTTCTGTAATGGTAAAGAATCTGAAGCAGGATGATACGTGTCACACAAATTAACGTTAGAAGTTAACATTATTATTTGTCTTTGATGCTTTGTGATACACTCATGACAATTTTATCCTGCTCAATCATTAGTGATATGTGGGTGTTTAAAACAGTGTGTGTATCAATCTAGTTGATGCTGGTACTCTCAACACGGACTTGAAGACATCCACCTGTCTTGCACCAACAAAGGAAGTGCTGTCTATCCGAGCATACACAGCCCGACGACGGCTCAACCGTCTCCGCCGCGCAGCCTGTCAGTTGTATCAGTCAGAGAAGAGTGTGAGTGTCATCATGAAGCTGGAGTATGAGGTGGAGAAGAAGAGGATCTCAGTCAGGAGAGACAGGATGGTGCACGCAGATATAGGTGGGTTGAGAGATAGGGTGTCGAGATATAGGTGGGTTGAGAGAAAGGGTGTCGGGTTATCAGTTGTGGGGTATTGTGCTGAGTACTCATTTCAGAGATAGGGTGTCGGGTTATCAGTTGTGGGGTATTGTGCTGTGTAATCATTTCAGAGATAGGGTGTCGGGTTATCAGTTGTGAGGTATTGTGCTGCGTAATCATTTCAGAGATAGGGTGTCGGGTTATCAGTTGTGGGGTATTGTGCTGTGTAATCATTTCAGAGATAGGGTGTCGGGTTATCAGTTGTGAGGTATTGTGCTGTGTAATCATTTCAGAGATAGGGTGTCGGGTTATCAGTTGTGGGGTATTGTGCTGTGTAATCATTTCAGAGATAGGGTGTCGGTTGTCAGTTGTGATGGGGTATTGTCCTGTGTAATGGTGTTCAGAGATAGGGTGTCTGGGTCATGTTGTCAGTTGTGAGGTGCTGTGTAATCATTTCAGAGATAGGGTGTCTGGTTGTATTGTGCTGTCTAATCATTTCAGAGATATGGGTGTTGTGTCAGATAGTTGTGGGTAGGTATTGTGCTGTGTAATCATTTCCAGGGATGATGGTCAGATTGTGAGATATGGGGTGTCTAGTTGAGAGGGTTTGGAAGATGGGGTAGGGTGCTGTGGTATCAGATGTGAGAGATGGGTTGTCTAGTTTGTGCTGAGAGGGTATTGGAAGATGGGGTAGGGGATGTTGGATCAGATGTGAGAATAAAGGTGTCTAGTCGAGAGGGTATTGGAAGATTGGGAGATAGGGTGCTTGGTATCAGGTGTTGAGATATGGACAGTCTAGTTGAGAGATATATTGGAAGATGGGGTAGGGGTGATGGTATCAGATGTGAGATATGGGTGTCTAGTTAAGAGAGGTATTGAGATGGGTGTCAAGTAGGGGATCATTGGATCAGATGTGAGATATAGGTGTCTAGTCGAGAGGGGTGCATTGGAAGATGGGGAGTAGGTGGTGATGGTATCAGATGTGCAATAAAGGTGTCTAGTCGAGAGATATTGGAAGATGGGGTAGGGTGGTGATGGTATCAGATGAGAGATGTGTCTAGTTAAGATAGGGTATTGGAAGATGGGGTAGGGTGGTGATGGTATCAGATGTGAGATATGGGTGTCTAGTCGAGAGAGGGTATTGAAAGATGGGGTAGGGGGATCATTGGATCAGATGTGAGATAAGGGTGTCTAGTCGAGAGAGGGTATTGGAAGATGGGGTAGGGGGATCCTTGGATCAGATGTGAGATATGGGTGTCTAGTTAAGAGAGGGTATTGGAAGATGGGGTAGGGTGGTGATGGTATCAGATGTGAGATATGGGTGTCTAGTTGAGAGAGGGTATTGGAAGATGGGGTAGGGGGATCATTGGATCAGATGTGAGATATGGGTGTCTAGTCGAGAGAGGGTATTGGAAGATGGGGTAGGGGATCATTGGATCAGATGTGAGATATGGGTGTCTAGTTGAGAGAGGGTATTGGAAGATGGGGTAGGGTGGTGATGGTATCAGATGTGAGATATGGGTGTCTAGTTAAAAGAGGGTATTGGAAGATGGGGTAGGGTGGTGATGGTATCAGATGTGAGATATGGGTGTCTAGTCGAGAGAGGGTATTGGAAGATGGGGTAGGGGGATCATTGGATCAGATGTGAGATAAAGGTGTCTAGTCGAGAGAGGGTATTGGAAGATGGGGTAGGGTGGTGATGGTATCAGATGTGAGATGGGGTAGGGGATCATTGGATCAGATGGAGATATTAGTGTGTAGTCGAGAGAGTGTATTGGAAGATGGGGTAGGGGGATCATTGGATCAGATGGAGATATTTATGTCCTGTAATCACTTGGGAGATGCATCAATGTATTGGTGAGCTGTCCCTCAGCGTAATCATCAAGGATGCTTCATTATGTGGCATTGTCTTGTATCCGATGTCACACATCACACCAATTTACATCCTCTTGGCAAAACTGTTCCTGCAAAATGTGTCTGGTTTTAATGTCCAAATATGATTTGTGAATATTGTCTCTGCTGTCATTAAGAATTTACATAACCACCTTTCAGCATTACAAATGATATCATGAATAGAATACTGGTAGATTTAGTGTTTCACCTTGGCTGATCATGCTCTAGAGTTGTGGATGTTGTGCTGGGTTGTAGAAGACTTGACCACTTGTTTCAGGCATCAAGCAGCGGATCCTGGACATGCTGCTCTGCTACAACCCACTGTGGCTGCGGATTGGCCTTGAGGTAATCACAGCCTATCTACATGTCCAGTTTAAACAGGGTTATGTCTAGTCATTTAGTGTGTCTGTTTTTGTTTATGGTTTACCCAAACTACATGCTGTGTCAATCATTGACTGATGTGAATCAAAACAAACAAGGGTCATTTAGTCAAAGTCTCATACCAAACTGATGAAGTACACTGTTACCTTATAAACAGAATCTTCAACCTCTTTTCCTTTATGTCTCATGTTAAGAGACTTTCTTAAAGTTGGATTTAGTGATAGACACAGCTGGCTTTAGTGATAGACACAGATGGCTTTAGTGATAGACACAGTTGGCTCTTTTGATAGAAACTTGATGTCCTATGCTAATCAGATTACACAGTCATCTAATCAGATTACAAATCTGCAAAAGAAATTGTATCAGTTTTGCTTGATTAATTTTGCAAGTCAGTCTGCAAAAAGTGTGAGGAATGTAAAAGCTTGTCTAGTTGACATTGCAGTTTTTGTCAACATACAATTAGCAGTTGGTACATATGGTGTTTTTCAGACCATGTTTTCCCATGTTTGTATTTCAGTATGTAGAGCTGTAGGCATTTCCAGCAAGAATTCCTGAAAAACTGCTGATGTGGCATAAAACAATGCTTGATCAAACTCTTTTATTTAGGATCGTTGTATCTATTGATTAATGTTTTTCATATATGACCTAAATGCTTTCAAAAAGTCGCATGACATTTTCTTGTCCATGTTTCAGACTATCTATGGTGAAGTCCTGCCCCTGCAGTCTAACAGTGATGTGATTGGCCTGTCTCGCTATGTCTTGTGTCGTCTCCTTGGCAACCCAGACGTTGCTCAGGTGTATGCCCACCCCAGTGTGCCACATCTTTACAGAGATGGTAAACCATGGCCTCCATGTATTATACATTTTCCAGAATGGTCAAAATGTTAATCATATCAGCTCACATTTAATATATTGTACAGGGTTATGCATCTGGCTTATATGCTCTCATATTTTATGTAAAGTTTCCACAATAGACAGTTTTTCATTGAATGAGAGGCTTGTCACTTGACCACGAAAATGACTTCAAAATTATCTCTCTGCCTAAAGTGAAAGTGACTGTAGTCTATGAAAAATCTATTGACACATCCTTTATGATCACCATGGAATAATCAGCTGATTCATCAGTGATCACTGAATGCCACACGTTCATTGATGATGTCAACACACCCTGATGGTAACGATATAGGGTCCCATTCGATTAGTTACAGCTGAGTTGTTAGACATAGCCCTAGTCCTAGTTCCTACTACAAGTTGAAGGCTATCGTTCAGTCAAATCACTTAGATCGGTGTCCACACAAAGTGACATCCATTTGTGTTGACATGTAGGTGAAATAACTGAAGAGACTTGATCTTACAAGAGAAACTGAACAGTGTTTCGCCTGAGAATACAGTTGCGAACCTACACTTATTTACACTCTCTGTTCTTCTTTTGTAGAGATGCGATAAACATACTGACATTATTGCTAGTATCTCTTAATCACTTGACAAATCCATGTTGCCGAGACATGTTTTAGAATCTCATGAGATGTGAGTTGTACATGACTTGAAAACTACACAAAAATCCAAAGTTGTTTACAATCTTTATTGTTACTCCAAGTTGTATGCTGCAAGTTGTTACTACAGGTCACACCATGACAGCACTACTTAAAGCTAAACTGACCATCCTTGTAAAACACCTGTTTCAGGGTATGCGGAGGCCATTGCAAAGCATGCACTGAAGAAGTTCTTGCTCCTAGTGTACTTCCTGGACCACGCCAAGACTGCTCGCCTCATACAGCATGACCCCTGCCTGTTCTGTAAGGACTCTGATGTCAAGGTGAGGTTATAGGAAGCTGTGTGATACTTAGACTCCTGAAAATCTCATCTTTCGCTCAGTGATGATACCCAGGGCTCCAGATAAGGGCCCTATCGGCGTATGTACGGATAAAAAATATGCAGGATTCCACGTGTCTCTATATCTGTGTGTGTGAGCATAGTTTGATGTGTCTCTTTATCTCTGTCCTCAAGCGTAGTTCCATGTGTCTCTTTGTCTCACCGTGTGAGAGCATAGTTCCATGTGTCTCTATGTCTCACCGTGTGAGAGCATAGTTCCATGTGTCTCTTTGTCTCTGTCCTCAAGCATAGTTCCATGTGTCTCTATGTCTCACCGTGTGAGAGCATAGTTCCATGTGTCTCTATGTCTCACCGTGTGAGAGCATAGTTCCATGTGTCTCTATGTCTCACCGTGTGAGAGCATAGTTCCATGTGTCTCTATGTCTCACCGTGTGAGAGCATAGTTCAATGTGTCTCTATGTCTCACCGTGTGAGAGCATAGTTCCATGTGTCTCTATGTCTCACCGTGTGAGAGCATAGTTCCATGTGTCTCTATGTCTCACCGTGTGAGAGCATAGTTCCATGTGTCTCTTTGTCTCACCGTGTGAGAGCATAGTTCCATATGTCTCTATGTCTCACCGTGTGAGAGCATAGTTCCATGTGTCTCTATGTCTCACCGTGTGAGAGCATAGTTCCATGTGTCTCTTTGTCTCACCGTGTGAGAGCATAGTTCCATGTGTCTCTTTGTCTCTGTCCTCAAGCATAGTTCCATGTTTCTCTTTGTCTCACCGTGTGAGAGCATAGTTCCATGTGTCTCTATGTCTCACCGTGTGAGAGCATAGTTCCATGTGTCTCTATGTCTCACCGTGTGAGAGCATAGTTCCATGTGTCTCTATGTCTCACCGTGTGAGAGCATAGTTCCATGTGTCTCTTTGTCTCTGTCCTCAAGCATAGGACCCGTGAAGATCCGGGGTAGAATAGGTCTTCAGCAACCCATGTGCTTGCCATAAAAAGGCGACTATCTTGTCGTAAGAGGCGACTAACGGGATCGGGTGGTCAGTTTCGCTGACTTGGTTGTCACATGTCATCGGTTCCCAATTGCGCAGATTGATGCTCATGCTGTTGATCACTGGATTGTCTGGTCCAGACTCGATTATTTACAGACCGCCGCCATATAGCTGGAATATTGCTGAGTGCGGCGTAAAACTAAACTCACTCACTCACTCACTCACTCCTCAAGCATAGTTCCATGTGTCTCTTTGTCTCACCGTGTGAGAGCATAGTTCCATGTGTCTCTATGTCTCACCGTGTGAGAGCATAGTTCCATGTGTCTCTATGTCTCACCGTGTGAGAGCATAGTTCCATGTGTCTCTATGTCTCACCGTGTGAGAGCATAGTTCCATGTGTCTCTTTGTCTCTGTCCTCAAGCATAGTTCCATGTGTCTCTTTGTCTCACCGTGTGAGAGCATAGTATCATGTGTCTCTATGTCTCACCGTGTGAGAGCATAGTTCCATGTGTCTCTGTCTCACCGTGTGAGAGCATAGTTCCATGTGTCTCTATTATTGAGACTCGATTATTTACAGACCACCGCCATAAGCTGGAATATTGCTGAGTTAGGCGTAAAACTAAACTCACTAACTCTAATCTTACCGTGTGTCTAAGTGAGTTTCCTGTCTCCAGGCCAGCAAGGACATGTTGATTCAGTTTTCCCGTGATTACCTGAGTGGGGAGGGGGATGTCACCAAGCACCTGGCGTACTTCGGCTACACCGTGTCCCACGTACAGACAGCCATGGATGAATTTGACTACGCTGTCACCAAGCTCGGTGTTGACCTCAGGGATGGTGTCAGGCTTTCGTAAGTACACAAGCATAGAGGAAAACTATTTCATCTCTATCCATTGTTGAAAAATCAAGGCTGTGTTTGATTCTCATAATGAGAGGCATATTTTTCAGTACATCCTTCTTAATAAGATATTTACTGGTTGGGTAGCCTAGTGGTTAAAGTGTTTGCTCATCACGCTGAAGACCGGGTTCGATTCCCCACATGGATTCAATGTGTGAAGCCCATTTCTGGTGTCCCCCCGCCATGATATTGCTGTAATATTCTTAAAAGTGGCGTTAAAACACTCACTCACTCACTCACTTAATGAAATATTAATAACAACATGAAACTTTGGACTTTACTGACTTTCCACTTTAAAAGATAGTTTATTATTCTTCATGTTGTGCTTTGATCAAATAATGAATGTCAGTGTTTCTTACACTTGTGCGTCTTGTACAGCCGGGTGTTAGAGCTCCTGACAGGGGAGTGGAATCTAGTGAAGTGCCTGCGAGCTCCAGCAGTCAGCCGTCTACAGAAGATACACAACATAGAGATGGTATTCCGGGCACTGACTGAGCGGGGACTTGATGTGGCCAAGCTTGATGGTATGGTTCTCCAAGATTCAAAACCTATCCCCAACCAGCAAACTGAGAAAGACACAATTTTTTTCAATTAACTTTAGAATAGTTTAAGTCCTCAGTTTTTAATTCAAAGTTGTTTTCTAATTGCATGTAATTGAATAATGTAAACATACGATTAAGGCGATTATGGGAATAGCCTATCATAATTGGTCCCGATATAACATTTCCTGTCTTAAGAGGCAACGTATTGGATCTGGTGGTTGATTAGTGATTTGGTTGAATGCGTGTCAGTGATGATGATACAGGGCATTGCTTATCTTATCAATATCTGTATGTATGGTATAGATACAGTTTCCTACACGCCATCACAATATTACTGGAGTATTAATTGGTGCTGTCCTGAAAATACCTTTCAAATCTTTGCTGTTGTCCATCGTCGGTTCCATTAAAGAAAGATTAAATGTTTTGTCTGAATGCCCCCTTTGTACATAATTTGTATATTATGTAGAATAAAATAAGTATTTAAATTTGTCCTGCCTAGCCTTTTCACAGGTTATGGATCATTTGAGCGTTAATCGTTGACATCATACTGCCTTAAAGCCACTCATACTACACAGTTGTGACTATCCATACATTTGTAAGTCTGAGAGCATGTGACACCCACATTACAAGTTTGTTTTGGTTTCAGGGGGCAAAATCGGAGCCAGAGATATTGTTGATGGACATCGTGAGAAGACCCTCAAGATTCTTTGGCATCTCATCTTTCACTTCCAGGTAGAACCCCCACAACCTCAGTACAATCTCCATAATTTCAGGTCAACCCATACAGTCTCACTGTGACCCTACAACCGCACTGTAACTGTGTCAAACTCAATACAGCCATGAAAACCTCTCTACAACTGAAACATCTGTGCTACCAATTTAAATTCAGCAAGATAAACCCAATATCAGACCTACAAGCATAACCTCACACCCTCAGTATAAACAGCACAATCCCAAACACCCAAGTACAACCTCATGGTAAGTCCAATCCCTGAAGAGTGCAAGGTTGTCAGTTCAATCCCAGGCCATGTGGATGATGCCCTAGCAACAGAAGCTGGAGGATGGTCAATGTTGTTTCCCTGCATGGTGCTCGGCATCTGGGGAGTGGCTGACATAAGGATTGGGCCACTCAGAGTCAGTGTATAGTTCTGGGCCCACTTGCACAGAACGATCTTAGCGCTACAATTATTGTAATTCCTTAAGATCGCGATCTTAGGCTTCGGTTACAATCGCCATCTACTTGCACAAAGCAATTGTAGGCTAAGATCATTGTAAGTTACAATCGAAACTTACAATTGGTCCGGACCAATTGTAAGGAGCTAAGATCATTTAAGTCATTTTAGAAATTTCATTCAAATTAGTGTCTGTTTCACGCAAATAATCAGCTTTACGTTTGGAGATTGGACTTATATTGCATAAAACTGTGTGGTTCGCTTCGACTCTTCAACAACACGGAGACTGCACAACCGATTTAACGCCGGATACATTGCTATTTACTGTAGTGAAACACATAACTATCGAAGTCGATATCACAAAGTACTATTCCCACCGATTCAATGTTGGAATAAGTGTGAAACAACATACCTTCTTGATAATCAAGGAAAGGATAATAGTGAATGGTGTCAGCGTTCGATTAACAATGGCCGTGACCTTTTCATTAACTCAAGAACAGATAATTTTACTTTATATCATAAGATGGGAGTGGTTTCCCTTGGCATGCCGTTGTCAGACAGTCTGTCATGCCCATTGCAGAGCTCAACATACTGATATCTCTTTTCGGTCATGGAGTGATTTTGTCTTAGTTTATCATTAAAGTAATCTACAAGTAGATACAAGTTAACGTGCAAAATCAAGTTTCTTTTCTCATCCATAAATCTAAATTTGATTATGCAATTTAAATATATACAAGTAGTCATCAAATAGAGATATACACATGATGAGGCATTACAAATTTATGTTTCAAAAAAATTTCACTTTAAGAAAAATATTTATCAACGCAATTGGGTTAAATAATTAATACACTGTGAATAATGTGATTTAATAACTACTCTCTTGAAATATTATTTAATACACACGGTATTTCCTGCCATGCATTCTTTACAACACTTCTGTAGCCATTATTTTACTGTATTTTGTTCTCGATATATTTAGGATTTTACAAACACCCCCCACCTACCACCACCAACAGCTGCGTATCAAACAATGTCTCATTGACAACCATTGGCAAATCATACATCTAGGTGTTATATCATAAGGAAATACTGTTTATATTTGTTATTTTATGTTCCATAATTAAGTCACTAAATCTAGATTCAAATTTATTCATGTATTTTTTTCAGATTTCAGTATTTTCATAAAACATGGGTAGGTATTTCTGTGGTTGCAATATCACATTCTCAGTTCATAAATCAAGACAGTTAGAATGTAGAAAATATATGCTATCGCCCCACGAATCGGTTCCTTCTAAGATTTCTGGGACTTTTTATGAAAATTCTGCAAGGTGCGATTGAGGGAGGTATGTATTGTGTGCTGGGACCAGTATCACTTTTTATTTGCGCAGCATGCTATGCTAACTTTCAGACAACTGTAGACGGGAGTCGAGTTTAAGAAATTCGTACCTCCACCGTTGAAGAGTTCGATCTTAGCTAAGATCGGGATCTTAAATATATGCCGTCTTACAATCGCTCTAAGATCGGCTTTGTGCAAGTGGATTAGGGGAATTGTATGGCGATTGTAAAGTTGATTGTAGGGACCTTAGATTGATTGTAACTAAGATTGCTCTGTGCAAGTGGGCCCTGGTTGGAATATCCATGCACAAACTGCGGGATGGGCTAGCCTCAATTCAGTACACCCTCTCAGTAGCCTCAATTCAGTACAGCCTCTCAGTAGCCTCAATTCAGTACACCCTCTCAGTAGCCTCAATTCAGTAAACCCTCTCAGTAGCCTCAATTCAGTACAGCCTCTCAGTAGCCTCAAATCAGTACACCCTCTCAGTAGCCCCAATTCAGTACACCCTCTCAGTAGCCTCAATTCAGTACACCCTCTCAGTAGCCCCAATTCAGTACACCCTCTCAGTAGCCTCAATTCAGTACACCCTCTCAGTAGCCTCAGTTCAGTACACCCTCTCAGTAGCCTCAATTCAGTACACCCTCTCAGTAGCCTCGATTTAGTACACCCTCTCAGTAGCCTTGATTCAGTACACCCTCTCAGTAGCCTCGATTCAGTACACCCTCTCAGTAGCCTCGACTCAGTACACCCTCTCAGTAGCCTCGATTCAGTACACCCTCTCAGTACCCTCAATTCTGTACACCCTCTCAGTACCCTGAATTCAGTACACCTTCTCAGTAGCCTCAATTCAGTACAGCCTCTCAGTCAGGCCTACCAAAGAAAACTTTCCCACTGTGCAGAAAAGCCCACATTAATCGTGGAAATAGCAACATAAACATATTACCTCGCTGCTGAAACAGTGAAAACGGCAACGAAAGACTATGAAACTGCAACATTTTTGTATCAGCGAACTTTGACCTCTACTGTGCATGCCCATTACCATCCGCGCTTCTTTCAAATTTCTGAACAACCTTGAATTGCCTCGCATAGAAAAAGTATTGAATATGTGGAAATAATTGCTGTCAATCATTTCATACGAATGGAAAGTAAACTAAACAAGTGTGCACACAAGTATGATGATAAATGCCAAATAACACAACAGAAATACTTTAAAAAGGGAATGTAAGCACTCACGCGTTGAACATGCGGTCGAGACTTCCTCTTCCATGTGTGCATGCTCAAAATCGAAGTTGCAGGCTCTTCGGTTTTTTATCCAGTTTTAGCGATTTAAAGTTGCCATTTTTACCATTTCAGTAGCGAGGTATTATGTTTATGTTGCTATTTCCACGATTAATGTGGACTTTTCTGCGTTTCTCTGCACAGTGGGAAAGTTTTCTTTGGTAAGCCTGTCATGAGCCTCAGTTCAGTACAGCCTCTCAGTAGCCTCAAATCAGTACACTCTCTCAGTAGCCTCAGTTCAGTACAGCCTCATTTCAGTACAGCCTTTCAGTAGCCTTCCTTCGATACAGCCTCTCAGTAGCCTCAATTCAGTACAACCTCAGTTCAGTACAGCCTCACTTCAGTACAGCCTTTCAGTAGCCTTCATTCGATACAGCCTCTCAGTAGCCTCAATTCAGTACAGCCTCAGTTCAGTACAGCCTTTCAGTAGCCTTCATTCGATACAACCTCTCAGTAGCCTCAGTTCAGTACAGCCTGTCAGTAGCCTTCCTTCGATACAGCCTCTCAGTAGCCTCAGTTCAGTACAGCCTTTGAGGAGCCTTCCTTCGATACAGCCTCTCAGTAGCCTCAATTCAGTACAGCCTCAGTTCAGTACAGCCTCTGTTCAGTACAGCCTTCCTTCGATACAGCCTCTCAGTAGCCTCAGTTCAGTAAACCCTCAGTTCAGTACAGCCAGTCAGTAGCCTTCCTTCGATACAGCCTCTCAGTAGCCTCAATTCAGTACAACCTCAGTTCAGTACAGCCTCAGTTGAGTACAGCCTTTCAGTAGCCTTCCTTCGATACAGCCTCTCAGTAGCCTCAATTCAGTACAGCCTCAGTTCAGTACAGCCTCTGTTCAGTACAGCCTTCCTTCGATACAGCCTCTCAGTAGCCTCAGTTCAGTAAACCCTCAGTTCAGTACAGCCTCAGTTCAGTACAGCCAGTCAGTAGCCTTCCTTCGATACAGCCTCTCAGTAGCCTCAATTCAGTACAACCTCAGTTCAGTACAGCCTCAGTTCAGTACAGCCTTTCAGTAGCCTTCATTCGATACAGCCTCTCAGTAGCCTCAATTCAGTACAGCCCAGTTCAGTACAGCCTGTCAGTAGCCTTCATTCGATACAGCCTCTCAGTAGCCTCAGTTCAGTAAAGCCTCAGTTCAGTACAGCCTGTCAGTAGCCTTCCTTCGATACAGCCTCTCAGTAGCCTCAGTTCAGTACAGCCTTTGAGGAGCCTTCCTTCGATACAGCCTCTCAGTAGCCTCAATTCAGTACAGCCTCAGTTCAGTACAGCCTCTGTTCAGTACAGCCTTCCTTCGATACAGCCTCTCAGTAGCCTCAGTTCAGTAAACCCTCAGTTCAGTACAGCCAGTCAGTAGCCTTCCTTCGATACAGCCTCTCAGTAGCCTCAGTTCAGTACAGCCTTTGAGGAGCCTTCCTTCGATACAGCCTCTCAGTAGCCTCAGTTCAGTACAGCCTTTTAGTAGCCTTCCTTCGATACAGCCTCTCAGTAGCCTCAGTTCAGTACAGCCTTTTAGTAGCCTTCCTACGATACAGCCTCTCAACCTCATTTTTGTTCCCACAACCCAAATATAACCATCACATCTTCAGTACAACCACTAAAACCTCAGTAGGACCTTAGCCTCAGTAGGACAGTATCTACGTTAACACAGCAACCATTACAGTTAACCTCCCTGCGACCAAAAAGACATCACAACAGTCTTTTTGTAAAATCAAATTGCCTAGAGCATGCATGCCTGTTTGACTTCATTCAGTTTGGTTGTCATGTATCGTGTTTCTGCAATGGCTGACAGATCATAATGATCATGTTATGCCACTTGACCCTCCTGTTTGGTTGGCTGGATCATGTGTTATCGTGTTTCATGCAGTGGCATGCCTGTTGTTGCAGTCTTATATATGACATGTTATGCCACTTGTTACAGTCTTATGATACCATTATGTTTACCTAGAATGGCTGCTGTGTGTTTATGTGTGAAAAGTGTTGTTACCTCTTATGTATGTATGAATGTGTTACTTTATATGTTTATGAATGTTCATGGATGTGTGTGTGTGTGTGTGTACGTACATATGTGTGTTACCTATATATATGTGTGTTACCTATGCATATATAATATGTGTGTTAACTATGTTTATATGTGTTTTATCGGTGTTTATATGTGTTTTATCGGTGTTTGTGAATATGGTCCCTTTGTTTATAAACAAGTTCCATCTCCCTCAGGTTGACGTACTGATCAACTTGGAACAACTCCGTGAGGAGACATCCCTCCTCGAACAGTCACTCAGGGTCAAGGTCAACATGCAGAAACTCCTCAAAATAAAACAAGAAGACAACCTTGGTAGGTATCTCCAAGACATGTTTTAGGACTGCAAGTATAACTTTGTCTTAGGAGATACAAAAACTGCCTCATTTGTTTTCTAAAAGCAGCGTGATATGCTGTTATTTGAACACTATGTGTCGTCAGGATACGTAACACTGTCAGTCAGATATTGGGAAATAAAAAGTTTTAAAAATGTTGCTGTCCTTCACAATGTGTCAGTAGATCAAATACCATACGTTTTACAATGAGCTGTTGTTAGTTTCTTTGACTGTAGTCTCACATAGGCACAGATACATGATTAACTTGATAAACCTATATATAACTGTTCACACAGAGATGCTCACCCACTTACCCACGATGATGTTCACCTCTGTTTGCAGCACGTCGTGACAGCGGGGGTCTGATGAGCCAGGACAACGAGAGGCTGGAGATGCTGCTGAAGTGGTGTCGAGTTGTGTGTCTGCACTACGGAGTCAAGGTCGGTGATAAAGAAAAGATACTAGCAGGGACCCATGAAGGTCCGGGTTAGAATGTACCTTCAATAACCCATGCTTGTCGTAAGAGGCGACTTACTGGATCAGGTGGTCAGGCTCGCTGGCTTGGTTGACACATGTCATCGGTTCCCAACAGAACGATGCTCATGCTGTTGATCACTGGATTGTCTTGTCCAGACTAGATTATTTACAGACCTCCGCCATATAGCTGGAATATTGCTGAGTGCGGCGTTAAACTAAACTCACTCACTCACTTACAAGCAGAGGTTGTGGATAGTTTTCATTTACTCCGATCATATTTATCTTTCAACATTCTATGAAAAACACATTCTTTTACCTGTGGTTATGTCTGTCTTATGTAGTGAAACAGACTCAGATCTCATGTCCAAAGCTGACAACTAGCTCAAATCACAAGCATCCTTCATTTTGATTTGGCCGTCAAAGTTCTCTCAGTGACCATTTATGGACTGTTTCACAAATCTTGACAGAGAGGTATCACATCAGTATTAAAGGTCTGATTAAAGCATTCTGGATGATCTCAACGACATGTAATGTTTGTAAGGGCATGTCCGCCGAATATAGTCATTGTAAACAATCACTACATGCAGGTGGAGAACTTCACGGTGTCATTTTCTGATGGGCGTGCCCTGTGCTGCCTGCTGCACCACTACCACCCTGGGCTGCTGCCGCTGTCGCAAGTCCACTTCCAGACCTCCCAGAGTCGCCAACAGGATCTCGAGGATAAGGAGGAGGCCGCTTGTGACCTTGACCTTAGCCAAGATTGGAGTTTCCAATATGGCACAGGTGAGGCCTTTTGTGCATGAAACTTGATTCTAGAACTTAAGGCATGTTAACAAGAAAAGGTGAAGGGGCATTCAAGACTGAAAGAAGTTCCATAAATGTATTTCTGTGTTCCTGCTTTTGAAGCCCATCAAAAATTGCAAGAATGATCAGTAGCATACAGGATTTATGCTGGCCTCAAATGTTATGTCTGTCTTAAAAAGTCTCTGTATGTCATGTAGATCAGAGACTGTTTTGCAGCAGGTGTTGGAAGTAGATGTGTATTTGAGTGACAGGTATTAGATGGTTTGACTGACATTTACGTTTTGTGCTCCACACAGGACTAGACGACCCCGAGCTGTACGAGCAGCTGCTTGTCAACGAGAGAGAAAACTTCAAGACTTTGTATGAGAAGGTGGGAGTTTGTTTGATATCAAATCAGTAATATTTCACTTTCCTGTCAAACAGATTGTCAGTGCCTGTGTGTATAATCTATTCGTGTAATTGTAGCTGAGCTCTTGTTGTCAAATCAAATGACATATAGACTGTATTTTAAACTTTCCAGGTGTCCGAGCTCGGTGGCATCCCCTTAATGTTGAAGTCTGTTGACATGTCCAACACCATACCCGATGAGAAGGTGGTGGTCACCTATGTGTCGTATTTGTGTGGCCGTCTACTGGACATCAGACAGGAGTCACGAGCAGCACGCGTCATCCAGATAGCCTGGAGGCATTACAAGCTCCGCACAGCACTCCGAGCACAACAAGTAAGTCTAGGCTAATAGCTCCATACAGCACTCCGAGCACAACATGTAAGTCTAGGCTAATAGCTCCATACAGCACTCCAGGCACAACATGTAAGTCTGGGCCAATAGCTCCATACAGCACTCCGGGCACAACATGTAAGTCTAGGCCAATAGCTCCATACAGCACTCCATACACACTCTGACATGTAAGTCTGGGGCAATAGCTCCATACAGCACTCTGAGGGCACAACATGTAAGTCTGGGCCAATAGCTCCGCACAGCACTCTGAGCACAACATGTAAGTCTGGGGCAATAGCTCCATACAACACCTCCGAGCACAACATGTAAGTCTAGGGCAATAGCTCCATACAGCACTCCGGGCACAACATGTAAGTCTAGGGCAATAGCTCCATACAGCACTCGGGGCACAACATGTAAGTCTAGGGCAATAGCTCCATACATCACTCCGAGCACAACATGTAAGTCTTGGGCAATAGCTCCATACAGCACTCCGGGCACAACATATAAGTCTAGGGCAATAGCTCCATACAGCACTCCGGGCACAACATGTAAGTCTAGGGCAATAGCTCCATACAGCACTCGGGGCACAACATGTAAGTCTAGGCCAATAGCTCCATACAGCACTCTGAGCACAACATGTAAGTCTGGGGCAATAGCTCCATACAGCACCTGTAAGTCCCAATAGCTCCAGCACCTCCGAGCACAACATGTAAGTCTAGGGCAATAGCTCCATACAGCACTCCGGGCACAACATGTAAGTCTAGGGCAATAGGTCATAAAATAACACCCGCAGAGTTACCAGGACAACACATAGATCAAGGAACTCCACATAACTCTCTTATATAATGGTACAGACAGGACCACTAATTATTGTCCACTCACTGGTCCTGTGGTCTAGTGGGAATTTAGAAAGGTTTCTTTCCCTGGTTGCATACCATGGATATGGAATGATCCTGATGATTAAAGGTTCCAACTGCTTGTTTTGTCAGAACCATACCTGTGCTTATGGGTTTCTGTGAAACCATACATGTCTAAGACCTGCATTACTTCTGACTCTCCGGACTTTCTGAATGGGTAGCCTAGTGGTTAAAGCGTTCCAAAGCACTGAAGACCCAGGTTCGATTCCCGCATGGGTACAATGTGTGAAGCCCATTTCTGGTGGTTTCTTTCTCCCCTCCCCTTTCCACTCAGACTTTCTGAAATCTGAATCTGAGCACACACAAATCATATTTGTTTTGTTTTGTAAGCCATAAACTACTGTAGTCTGTAAGGCAGCATGTATTAAGTATTACACATTGAGGACAAACTGATTAATGCCTGCTCTTCCCTTTATAGCATGAGATCAAAGCAGCTCGAGTCATCCAGACTCGAGTGAGAGAGTTCCTCCAACGTAAACAAAGGAGAAACAGATGAGGGCAGCCATCGTTCTACAGGCTGTTTGGAGGGGTCACAAGGCCAGGTCAGAGGCACGTCTGCTGAGACTGGCACGAGACAACGCCAACATGGGGGACGCTGTCACCAAGATTCAGGTCAGAACATGGGCCAGTGTAAAACCTTAAACAGTGGTTACCGCTTCCGATTTGTACCAACCTCTACATGGTGATTTATCCAAAAATGATTCATACTCATATTTTCTTTAAAAATTCCTGAAAAATATTGTTGATGGCGAATTTGTTCTGAAGCAGTTTTATGACAGTCAGCAATAGTGCAACTATGTTACAAGAGTCATGTAATCAGAATAGTCAAGTCACAGGTTGTGTATGTGGGGATTGGGAAACCTATTGGTCAAAGTTTTCACCTGACTAACTGTATTTGAATCCACATATGGGTATAATGTATCAAGTACATACTAAATGTCCCAAAGTACAATGTTTCAAGCACAGACTAAGTGTTCCCAAGGCCCACCATCCTCGATAATCTCCAGGGTATACATTACGATAAATCTCCACTAGTACCCTAGATGCATCTATGGCTCGGCCTGATAATTTTATTACCTCCCTTTGCTGGCTCTGCATTCTCACAGTAGCCAATCAGATAAGCTGCCATTACAACCGAGCTTGCCAGTGTAAACAAAGATAGTGGTCGCAAGCCGCGGAGGTTTGTTCGCATTGCAACTCAGATTTGGGGAGATATCATACAGAAAAATTGACAGGTCTAAAACCTTAAAAAAATATTTGCAAGAACTCCTTCTACCTCTTTCAGAGTACTTCTGCAACAATTGTATTGCCAAGTGTAATTGGTTAGAAAAGAGAAGCGAAGTGAGTTGTGATTGGTATGCTTAACTTCCCAGTGTAGACACCTGTTGGATAAAAAGCCAGCCAAGGGAGGTAATAAAATCATAGGTCCGTAAATGCATCCAGGGTATAGTGGAGATTTATCGTAACATATACCCTAGAAAATATTCGAGGATGAAGGCCCACTTGCACAAAGCGATCTTCGCATATGATGACTATAACTCCATACTCAACTTAAGACAGTCATAGCAGTAAGATCACCTTGTGCAGTGGGTCTTGTGCTTTTGTTGAAGGATGCTCTGTGTATAGAGTCACATTTATCTGGAGACACTGACCCGTAACCAGTCATTGTTCTGTGTTTTCAGGCCGCAATGCAGGGATTTGCTGCTAAACGGCAATATCAGCGTCTTCGTAAATCAACCATAACCCTTCAAGCCCATGTGAGAGGACATCTAGCAAGGAGACATGTTGCTAAGCAACACCAAGCTGCAAGCAACATTCAGAGCACCTACAGAAGCTTGATCGCAACACGGAAACATCGAGAAGAGTTCCTAGCCAAGAGATCTGCTGCCATTACTGTACAGAGAGCATTCAGAGCAGCTGCCAACAACCGTGTGGCTCGCACATCAGCTGCAGTTGGCGTGATCCAGAGAGCCTGGCGAGGATACAGCTGTCGCAAGAAGCTGGTGGATCTAAGAAGATCTGTGGTCCTGCTGCAGGGATTTGTGAGGATGAGGAACACGAGGAGGGATTATCTTGAACTAAAGAAAACTGCTGTCTCACTACAGGAGAGAGTCCGGGCCAACAAACTGTCAGCCACAGCAAGACAAGACTTTCTGACGAAGAAGACAGCAGTAACCACGCTTCAGTCGCGTGTCAGGGGCTATCAGCAGAGGATGAAGTACGCCCAAAACAGAAACGCTGCCATCTGCATTCAGAAACACTTCCGTGGACATAAGTATCGGGTGAAGTTCCGTGCAATGAGACTAGCTGCGATAATTCTCCAGCGTGCATACCGACTACACAAGATGGCTGGTGAAGAGCGAGAGGCACTGCTGAGATGGACGGCTGCTTGTGTGACAGTACAGCGTTGGTGGAGGGGACTGCAGCAGAAGAAGATGGAGAGACGACACACAGCAGCTACCCTCATCCAAGCTACATACAGATGTCATATTGCAAGGAGGGAGTACCAGCGCAAACAGTCAGCTGTGCTGACTCTACAGACATCCTTCAGGAGGATGGCCGCCAGGGCACAGTTCCTTCATACCAAGGCTGCTGTTATCATCCTCCAACACCACACCAGGCTCCACTTGAACAAACGACAGATCCAGTCCCAGATGCAGGCCAAGAGAGATGCTGTTGTGCGACTTCAGACATGTTGGAGAAGACTTCAAGCAGAGAGACAATATAGCGCCATCAGACAAGCGGTGATGGTCATTCAGAAGAATGTGCGTATGATGCAAGCTCAGATGGCGTACAAGAAGAAAATTGCAGCCATATCTTGTCTACAGCATTACGCTCGAGGCTATCTACAAAAGAAGGCCTTTTTGTCTGACCTAGCCCGTCAGACATCTGCTGCTGTGAGAATTCAGTCATGGTGGCGGATGTTGGTGAATCGACAAAAGTTTGTTTCACGGAGGCGAAACGTAGTTGTCATTCAGGCCCATGTGAGAGGCTGGCATCAGAGAATGGACTTTATGCGACAGAGGAAGGCAGCTGTTCTTATTCAGAGCTACTACAGGGCTGCTACAGCTGCTAGGGAGGCAAGAACAAAGTATCAAGTGATGATTGGTGCTGCTATGGCGATCCAGAGTGGCTGGAGAAGCTATGTCATCAAGAAGCAGTTCTCTATCATGAGGAGGTCTGCTGTGAAGATTCAGAGCAAAGTTAGAATGATGATTGCCTTGAAGAGGTACCACAACCTCAAACATGCCTGTGTTTTCCTGCAAAGACTTTACAGGGCAAATAGGAAGACCAAGTGTGTCAGGCAAGAGTTTGTATGTACTAAATCTGCTGTTGTGACCCTTCAGACAGCGTTCAGAGGACAGAGATGTCGCAAGCAGTATCAGAAAACAAAAATGTCTGCTGTAAAGATTCAGTCGTTTGTTAGAATGTATCAGGATAGATGTAAATATAGACAAATCATCCAAGCCACGTGTGTCCTTCAGCGGAGATTAAGAGCTGTAAGAGTCGGTCAGCTAGACAGGAGAGTCTATGTAACCAATAGAAACCATGTGATGAAGCTGCAGGCGGCAGTGAGGGGATGGATCTGTCGCAGAGCGTTCACACAGGCCAGACATGCTGCAGTGACCATCCAGAAACATGTGAGAATGCACCAGCAGGTGAAGAGATACAGGCAGCTGAAGCAGCATGTCAGGATGGACAGGGCTGCTGTGGTCCTGCAGAACAGATGGAGGATGCTGGTGGAGAGGAGGAGGTTCACAACGATGAGGGCAGCGTGTGTCTGTGTGCAACAGCAGTACAGAGCTGTGCGTTCCGGCAGACAGCAGCGACAGAAGTATCTGAACATTAAACAAGCAGTGATCACCTTACAAGCTGCTTACAGAGCTGCTGTTTGTAAAAGAGATGCTAAAAGGAAACAATCTGCAGTACTTATTCAGAGTTACGTTCGCAAACATTTAATCAGATCAAGGTTTCTATGTATGAAGAAATCGGCAATTAAATTGCAAGCATGTGTGAGGATGATTAAGGAGAGGAATGTTTACAGGCAGCAGAAACAAGCTGTTTGTCACATTCAGCAGTGGTACAGAAGTATCAAACATGGTCAGAGATCTCGGAGACGGTTCCTGATCATGAAGGGAGCAGCTATGACAATACAGGCTGTCTGGAGGGGCTACATTGTCAGATGTCGGTTGGCGCTCTACCAGAGAAATGCTTCTGTTATACAGTCTGCCTTCCGTGCCCACCAACAGCAGAAGCAATATCGCCAACTTCGGGCCACAGCCATCAGCTTACAGAAGCTCTACAGAAACAACAAGGCAGCCACACTGGAGAGACAGAGGTTTGTCCAAAAGAAATCTGCTTCTGTCATCGTTCAGAAAACAGTTAAAATGTTCCTGGCAAGGAGGAGATACTTGGAGCAGAAGTCTGCAGCACTGAAGATTCAGAGGGCATATAATTGTTACAAGGAGAGGTCAGCATTTATCCTGCAGAGAGAAGCAGCAAAGGTCATTCAGGAGAAGTGGAGGGCGACCTTATCCGCCCGGGAACAGCGTCGGCAGTACCTGATCGTGGTGGGAGCAGCAATCACTATACAACAAGGATACAGGAGCTATCGGACTCGACGGAACTTCCTTCACACACGCCATCAAATCATCCAAGTCCAGGCTTATGTCAGAGCATTCCTCCACAGGAAGAGATATCAGCGTTTACAGGAAGCTGCTCGTACGATTCAAACCCTGTATCGAAGAAGATGCCAAGCACAGAATCAGAGGGAGGAGTTCTTGAAGATGAGGATGTCAGTATGCACGCTCCAGTCTGCCTACAGACGATGGAAGCACAGACAGGTTGGGAGAAGACATGTCGCTGCTACTACCATACAGTCAGTGTTCAGGATGCTCGTCGTAAAGAAGCAGTTCTGTTTGACCAGACAGAGAGTCGTCCTTGTCCAAGCAGTTGTCCGAGGGTTCCTGGCGAGGTGTGCCTACTGCCACAAGCTGCAAGCTATTTCTGTCATACAGAGAAACACACGGACATTCCTACTGTTTAATGGCCTGCGTCAGATGGTGGCTCGACGGAGACATGCTGTCGGTGTGATTCAGAGAGCGTACAGAATGTATAGGCACACTAAAGAACTGAACAGACAAAAGTCAGCAATACTGATCCAGAGAGCATACAAGAGGTACAGGCACACGCTAGAACTGAAGAAACACAAAGCAGCAACAATTATTCAATCCACATTCCGAATGCATTCTAAGCGTAAGACTTTCCGACAGACCAGTCAAGCAGCCATCTTGATCCAGAGCAGTTGGCGAGGCTACATGGTGAGACGGACGTTCAGACAGACACTACAGAAGCATCGTGCTGCAGTGTGTCTTCAGAGAAGTTACCGTGGTTACAAGGCTAGAGTTCATCTTCAGGTGAGTGACTCTTATTTGCTTTACCTTTTTCCCATGTTCACATTCAAAACACATTTGTCAAGTCAAAACACATATCTGGAAATTTTTCAAAGGATATAGGTTGACACTGCAATAAAATAGAACTTGTTATCTTATATCTGACCATTTCATCCAGCCTTAAGTGAACTTGGGAAAAATTAATCATCTTCACTTTTTAAAAAAACAAAACTTTTTTATGACTCCCCTGTTTAACAATTCACCTTTTTAAAAGTATTTAATAGCATCTTGTGAAGATGGAACTGGTCATTAACATAGGACTGTCAGTGGCACTATGCAATGTCGACTCACCGAGATGAAGAATCTACAATGAAGATGCTACTGTTTTTCACAAAACACCTCCACATGGCCACATCATGCAAACATCTCAAAACTCTATTATTGACGTATTGTAATTTAAAATATGTCAAATCTGTCAGTTTTTGGTTTCATATGAACTGTTGCAGTACTCGTGAACAAATACTTTTGAGGTTGAGTATAGGGACTATCACTTTGCATTATAGTTTAGAAGGCATCCATGAGTTGATAAGGGTCAAAGTGTCGCTAATAAGCAATATATAATGTCAAAAGATCATCACAGCGTCTCCGCGCTAGCTCAAGACCTTGAACTTTGTGCTTTAGACAAATAGACATTCGTTAAAAAGGCCATACTCATGTTAACAGGTGCAATCTTGTGTTGTGAGTTTAACATGTTCCACTATTGATCACATAGCTGAATGATAACTGCAACCAATTTCGTAACAGATATGGACTATATGGACCTATTCATAAAATGACTTGACAACTTTATTATCTCAGAAGCAGACCTCATCTTCCAGATACCAAGTTTGGATTAAGTATAATTCAGACCATTCAGCATCAAAACAGATTGTGTTTAATTCTGAGTTTGCATGCAAGCAGTCACTTTTAATCTGAGAAATGTATAAAATCATGCATTTCATGATTTTAAGTAAGTTCGTCAGCTCAGTTGATCCATTGATGGAATCATGTTAGAGAATTTGTGATGTGCAAGTCGTAACATCATCTACAGTGATGTACAACAAGGTGTTTATATGTCATTACACAATAGCGGAACTGCTAGAACCAACTATCAAATCCAAGAACAGAAAATGTTCAGTGCGAACTGCTAATAATAAGTGTGTGTATCTGTGCCCATATTGGTTGTATTTGACAATGAGTAGAAGCGGATTGTGGCTTGTACTGAATAAAACCTCTCAGCTTGAAAAGCCCAAACGTGGATCAATACTGACTGTGAGTGTGAACTAACGTTACACACAGATGTATATCGAAGGAAGGTTGTCATGTATACTTCCCTTCAAAGCTTAGACTCACTATTGTAAATGTAGCCACTTGCTTCAGTCAGCTGTTCTAAATAATACCAAGTATTACATTTAGTATGTATCAGGTATCTACCTGTAAACTAGTCAGGAGTATATTCTTAACTTGTAGTCAAAGTAATAAGCGGCACCCCAGTGATGGAATTTGGTATAGAAACATTTTGACTATATTTATGTTGATATTATCGGGATCAACAGAATAGCTGTAAAAAGACTGTTGGGACTGCAATTTCTGTTTGAAAGATATTTTAGCATTAGCTTAACAAGTAAGGTGTGAAAACTAGTATGCTTTTCATCCATAAAAAAACTAGGTTATTTGCAGGGCTTCAGTTTGCAATGTATTTAGTTCTTGCTGTCAATTTCATGACAAACTTATTGTAGAGACTAGGAATTTTAAGTACTTCAGCCATGGATAGCTTTTAAAAATTGATTGTTATCGCCAGAAGTTGTGGCAAACTAGACAAATATACACTCTGCAAACACTTTCTATGCTGTGGGACCTAGACATTCTCTAGCTGCAGTTCAAGGATTCTCAACTAGGTGCCCCTTGGTGGCCAACTGGGAAGAAACATTATTTTGTTCAGATTTCTTATTGTCTTCAGAGGTATGCCTGTTTTATTGTGTATTTCCCAGATAGCATTGATATGTTGGACCATAGTTGGTCCATAATCACCGGTTTGGTTGGCCCATGGTTGTCAAACTGACGATGGGCCCACTTGGATATGCTCATCGGCTCCACAGTGGCCCATCATGTTGGCTCATTGTTGGGCCAACAAATGAAAATTCACACAAAACCATGGCCCATAGTTGGCCCAACGTAGTGATTTTGTTGGCCTTATGTTGGCACCACCGTGTTACAACATTTAGCTCTTTCTTGACCTTTGTACTAAACCATGGCCCATACTTGGCCCAACGATGTGATTTAGTTGGCCTTATGTTGGCACAACTGTATTTCAACATTTACCTCTTTCCTGACCTCTGCAATCAGAAACATATAAACAACACAACAAGTTAATCAAGTGAACTAATTAATTCTTTTTTTCATTGTTATTTGAACATTATTGTATTTCTTGAAAATATTCTTGTCTTAGGTCTTTTGGCTGTCGCCGCTGACAGGTTTTTCGAACTGCTCCTGAAAAAAACAACCCAAAAATTTCATGAAACTGTCAGATATCATAATTTTAGACATGAGATCTATCGTAAAAGGACATAGTATTTGACCTTATGTTTTATTTGAAACATACAACTTAATGATTGAAAACTTCTTGTTTATTGCACAGAGTGGCGTTCGGAGGTAGATTCTTACACTGTTATCAAGCTAAAACCAAATGATTAGAAGTATATACGTAGTATGTTTTGACAATCAGCAGATTGACAGTAACAACAACATGTAATTGAATAACGACTGGTACATTATTGGGAGAGGCCAGATGGGGACTAAGAACAACAAATGGAATGGTGATGAAGCCAATAAACAAGGGGGGATTCAGTTGTAACAACAAGCTGATAGGGTGCTTTGATAGAGTCTATAGTTTGATTAGTTCTTCATTGGTCTGTTGTTTTCATGTGACTGCAAAATTTGGTTTTGTTGCAATTATTAGATTTTGTGTTAGTGAGAAATTCATTGGTCTCAAATTAAATCAAACAGACTATGAGTTGGTGGGCTACTGGTTGAGGCTCGTGAAGACATGTTGTAGGTGGTTCTGCTCATGTTCTAGGTCATGGCTGCTGGAGCAAATGTTCTTAGAGTGCTTGATCAGGGTTGAGATGACACCAAACTTAGTTTTAGGGGGCTGGTTTGACAAATTCGAAATCTTATCCACCAAGAATCAGGACTTCACAAAAAGAAAACTTTTGGAAGCCATCGAAATCAGCCGCCACAAACCTTTGATCAATAGAGACCAAGGATACTACATACCATTGGGATATGAAGAACTAATCAAACTATAGACTCTATCAAATCACCCTATCAGGTTGTTACAACCTAACACCCCTCCCCCCTCCCTTCCTTGTTAATTGGTTTCATCACTAGATCCATTTGTTGTTCTTGGTCCCCAACTGTCCGCTCCCAATTATGTTTTTTTGACAAAACATACTATGTACATGTATATATATATACTTCTCATCATTTGGTTGTAGTCACTTTTAGCTTGATAACGGTGTAAGAATCTACATCGAAAAGTCGCTCTATACAATAAACAAGAAGTTGGTTGTAAAGATGAATAATAGAGAGAGTTGTAGATGGAAACAGGAGTGTAACTGACAAACATATAATGTTAATAAAGTAAACACAATAAATTTAAATAATTTAAAATGAAATGAGATTTATCAAAGTGGTTAAAACAGGCTACCTAAAGAAAAGAGTCAATTAAATCTTTTATCTACTCAATCAATTGCCTTTCAATACAGCATGTGTCAGTTTCTTTAGCCTAAATGATGATTTAAACCAATTATTTCACAATATATTCGCAATTCAGTATCACAGAAATAACAATGCATATTTACCAGTTGAAGGCCTCCAGAAATGTAGTGTCGTCTGCTCTTTGAATATCAGGTAAAGCTATCAATGATGACAAGTTTGGTATTCAATTTGGAGAAAACAACGCTGTAAAATTCACTGCATCATAGTTGAAAGACAGGGAAATGGATTCTTTCTTTTTGCCTGTGTAATTATTTCAACTTTCATCAAAATTTTAATAAGAAAACATGGCTAAAAATGGCCGTGTGCTCACTCTTTTATTCACAATGTTGGGCCAACGGTGGCCCAACTTTGTGAAATAGATGTAAGATCAGGGAAAATAGGCAGAGTTTTTCAAATGTTGGCCCACTGTTGGACCAACGTGTAAAAAGCCACCGTTACTTTTAAGTCATTAAGATAACGTTGGACCAATGTTGTCAAACTGTTGGCCAACCAACCAACCATCTACCAACATTGGCCCAACACACCTTTGCTATCTGGGATGGAGATTAAATTTAATACAACAATATATGGAACAACCACTTCTTATTTATGATTCCTATCATCAGTAACATACAGGATATTTCACCAAATAGTTATTTGTTATACATGTTAACATTAATTAGAAAAATTGTAAATCTATTCGTGGAATTTTTAAATGACATTTACTGCTTGGAACTCTTAATCATCCTAGCACAAGAAGTTTGAAAGCCTGCAGAATGTGTACTTCATCAACCCTTAGAAATAGATGTCCTGCCTGTCACCTTTGAGTGCAACTGTCTGTTGTTAAAAGCCATCAGTTCGTCTCGTGAACTATGTTATAAAATCAGTGCTCAGGTCTGTCTGACATCAGAAGACGGGACGGTCTTTCAGATCCATAATCCCTCTTTTCATGACATCTTTATTCATTCTGTGTTATGTGTACTTCATTCGAGAGATGCCCAGTTCATCATCTCTATTTTTGGTGTTCGGTAAAAGTCCTCGGTGAAAAAGTCCTAAATTTGCCTAGGTTAAAAAGTCCCCCTTTTCATTTTCTAACAAGAAATATATAGAAAAACAATGCTTTTTAGTTTTTATATTTTCATTGTCACACACACAACAAATGTAAAGGTCTTGTGACATAATGACGTATTGAAATGTTGATGTAATATCGTACGAAATGACTACAG